AGGAACCCTTCAAGTGTTTCTTGCACAACAAAACACCACACAGTTAGTTTTACATCCTTTTGAGTTTTCAAACTCAAAGTACAACCATGTGTTTTTTTGGAGGATAACAACCATCTACTGCCTATCATGTCACCCATATCATATTAAGGAGCGCTGACTGACCACTCTTAGTAGGGGGTCGCAAGCCTTCAAATGAGACTTGCATGAGAGTGGATGGGGTAACTTTGGCTATCTCTGAAAGTTTCCTGTTTCCATCACAGCATGTGGGACTGATTCATTTTGACTTTTCACTATTATTTCATTTTTATGGACACTTTAATCACAAAATATTTCACGAGATTGGACATTTTGATTGTATTATTTTTATTTGGTTAATATCCTATTGAGTTGAGTGCTGCACTTTTTGTTGTACACTTTATGTGTGAACGGATACCTTTTGTCCTGTATGAGAACTTCTGAGGTAATATGAGACGTCACAGGATCACAAGATTGGGAGACTTTAAAAGGAAATGTGTAGTCTCTTCAATTAATATTAGATATGCTTGTAAATGAGATCACCTTAAAAAAAAATCAATTTTATCAATGTGGCTTAATATTTTAATAAAATTGTTCTATCTACATATTTGGTGGACCTGCCTTGCTGCCCAAAGATTATGGTAACAAAATTAAAGAATTCTCTGTATTCTTTCAACAGTCGTTTCTTATGAAACCATACGAGAAGTTCATAATTTGGTAAAACCCTAGTATTTCAATGTTCCGGTTTATATTCATGATTCATTTTCTGACAGTCACGAAACAGACAATAACAAAGACATGGCTCTCAGAGAACCTACATGTGACAGAGGTTAAGTCTCAACTACGTTGGGAACAGTAGGTTGCTAATTTTTTACCAGATAATTTTTACCATCGCCTCCTTGAGCAATGATATATGTGGGTCTCCATCGCCACTACACACAATTCCTGGGAATCCTCCTAGGGGAGTTTCCTTTTCCCTTCTACACTTCCTCTTCACTTCCACCCATAACTCTCCCTAAACTGACCTATCTTCCCTCTGTCTCTTTTCTATTTCTCCTACTATGATTGCAATATACAACACTCTTGTTATTGTCCATATTATCTATCAGGGGCAGACTGGCAACTCATGGGGCCCCCAGGCAATAGGGGATCATGGGGCCGCTGTGTCCTTGCCCACACTCAAACCACACCCAAAAAAAACCTATGAAAGGTACCAGGGGCATCTCATGCGGCCCCCTACTGACCCTGGGGCCTCGGGGAGTGCCCAAATAGTCAGTCCGCCCCTGTTCCCTATGTAACATTTATTGCCTTTATGACCGTAATGTTTACGTGCAAATATGCAACCTTTGTATTTCTTTACAATTGTCTAATAAAAGAATGAAGAAAACATTGTTCGATGTAAAATTTAGAATTATATGTATATGGAGACAGCCATATTTCTATTACATAGGAAGCTCTGCTTCAAGCTTGGCAGAGCTGTACGATGGTTGTTCTTTACTGCTTCTTCCCACAATAGGGGTGATGTACTAAAACTGGAGCACTCAGAAGCTGATTGGCTACTATGCACAGCTGCATATTATTCTAACTTCAGTTTATTCAATTAAGCTTGGACAATAAAATCTGCACCAGATTTTGCACACTCCAGTTTTAATAAATCCCCCCCAATGAGTCAGCTGATTCACTGAAAACACTGCATTCCTTGTATGGCTAATAGCCCAACTGTAATTACGAAATTAGGTGGAGTTATTGTAGCAGTTAATCTACCCAGGCTCCAGTGGGTCATCTTTAAATCTCAAAATCTGAGAAAACCAAAGAAAACCAAACATGAAAATGTAAAAGTCACACATGGGAATTTACTGCAAAAGTAGTTAAAATATGTACCCATTGAAAATTGACTGTACATTCCCTTTTAAAAAAGTTATCCGGAAAATGTTTGCAAATAATTTTTAAAAGGGAGAAGGGGTTTCTCAGTAAATGCAAAGTCAAGCCTGTAAAGTGATCTTTGACCTGTTGGGTGTTTTTTTAAAGCCTTTTCTGAGCCCAGACACCAATCTGTAACTGATTTGCCTAGTGACCCACAACAGCCCAGGGCTGCTATTTGTAAAGCACCATAGAAGTGACTTCACTGGAGCACCTACTAATACTTTGTACTCCAATAAGTTCACCTGCTGACCAGAGTTGCCTGCCATGTAGTAAGTGTCATAATAAAGGCAAAGGCCATATGACTCTTTATTTATCCAATAGGCAGCACTTTCTCTTGCAGGCCTGATGCATAAATATGGTATTACCCAGAAGACTTTTCCCTCTTTGGAAAGGGTTAATCATGGTGAAATGTGAAACCAGTAATACGTTGTTTTCCCCAAATCCCCCCTTTAAAAAATGCACCCATCCTGCCATTTTATTCCTCTGTGGATTTCACCTTTTGCACATCATTTATTTAAATAAAAAAAGGAGGAAACGGTAGACACAGAGCAGGCCAGGGAACAGGAAGTGGCAGTTAACAGGTGGTAGAGGGGACACAATGGACAGACGCTGACAGGAAGTTGATAGTCCAGGCAGGAAGTCATGTATGGACATGCGCAAGAGTAGAAAAAAAAAACAAATAAAAAATAAAAAAGCAGCAAAATTATAGATTATATATTACAATACAAAAAATACTTACAAACATTACACAGTAATACTCTGAGCACCTGTGAGGTTTTTTTTTTTTGTTATATATATAATCTTGTTGGTCAAAAAATAAGCTTTACTCCAAGCACCATAGTGAAATCTTGTTCACAGATAATTTCGTCTTCTTGTCTGTTCAGGACATTTGTTTCCAAAAAACATTTTTCCCACGTTTTTCGTGTGCCAGGCAGAAGGGGAACTTTATCACAAATTTTATTATTTTTTAAATAAAATTTAAATCTTTATATCCACAGAAGAAAAAAAACAAGAGTCCTGTTTGTACGCATCTGCATGTGTTCTTTTTTTTTTTTTTTTTTAAATACTGGAGACGAAAGAGCTTGAAAGAAAATGTAAAGAAAGAGACAGCTCTGTATGGGTGAAAGAAGTGGCTCTCAATGTCCTCTGTGTAGATTTCGGTAGGACATAGGACATGAACACCATGTTTTCTGTATGGGAATGGTGTTTCTTTTACCATTTATTTAAAAAAAGCCTCAAATAATTCTAGCTAAGAAGTCTATGATAAACTCTTTCTTTGGTCATCAGAAGATCCGCCCAGCTATAGGTCATTGTCACGTGTTGACCAGATTCTTTTGGTCTCTTGTTCCACCTCGCTGGAGGGGCTATCTTTCTGCTCCTCAGCTGAGCTTCTTCAATATTGGTGTACAGAAGTAAAGGGGAGGGGTTGCTTCTCCTTTTTTATTTTCAGAAAGGGATACAAATGGGTAGGGGGGATGTCTCTAGTTTTGTTTTGCCTCAGCCCAGAAAACATACAGGTCCCACTTCAAAGCCAAATTTCTGGTTGGGTTCTCCAAAGTCCATGAACATAACGTCTCTCAAAGGAAGCTGATCCACAATGGGTGTGTGAATCTCTAATACTGTCTTGTCTGTGCCCTTCCTTGCCTGTAGTAGAGAGAAGAAAGCATTGAGGTGAGAGTTTTATTAGTCATATAGTAGTCCTGCACTAGCCACCCTTACCCCTATCTGTCTATATATTTCATAACATGTAATTAAATATGGTTCTGGGCCCAAGTTCCTAAATCCAAGAACAAAGATTTTATATAATGCAGCTTACCGGATTTTAGATGTGGGGGGTTCATCAGTTTTCTTTTTTTTTGGGGGGGTGGGTATTTTTCCCCTTTTTTTTGCACCCAGTGATCCTGCCAATAAATAATTTCCTGTCCTAAGGTGACAGCACTTTATCACTTTATCTATGGAATAGCACCATTATCATGCTAGGTTGCTTACACCTAATTTAGACTAAACACTTTCCCCTCTTCTCATCTCTATACAAAGCAGGGAGGTGTTCTGTAGGTTAGAGACGTAAACTTCACAATATGATAACACTGCTTGAAATTTAAGTGCATAACAACTAGAGTGCACACAAAGTTGTGAGTTTCCTGGATTTCTGGCAGAAACAACAGGTATTTTTAACACTTTTTAAACAAATATAACAAAACTCTTGCAATTGTATATTTAACAGACCAAAAGGGTGCAAATAATAGAATAATACTGTCAGGTTGCAAGAGGACATTCAAGTAATAAAGTTTGCATGGATTCGCGATATAGGCATTGAAAAGCCAAGGCATGCTCTTGCACCTATTGCTGGAGTTTGAGAGAACAAGGGTGGCCTTGAGTCGAGTATTACTCTAGTAGCTAATTCCTGTAAGTATTTATAGTGCCCATTGGCATTTCTTAGTATTTTTCCATCAAAGAAGCTAAATCTACGTGCGAAAGAACCCTAAGTTGAACATTATGTAGATACCGCTGTGTCTAAGACTCCCTAATGGCGGCCTAGAGCTAAATAATCTTAAAATGTCCCCCCCCCTCCCTCCATTAACACCTATACTAACTACCCTGTAGAAGGAAGATGCTTGTACATGCCTCTTCTCAGGGTGTTGTGCTCTGGTCACGTGACTGTCTCCCAGCAAATGGCTTCAGGAGAAAGGAAGGACAGCCAACAACGGATGCCCCATAATAAGGTTATAGATGACATAAACGCCCAGGTATTCCATCCATTGTCAGTGCTCTCCCCTGAAGCAAGCCGCTAGGGAGATCACATGACCAGACCGGAGCGCTCTCCAAATAGGTAACTATGTGCATCTTCCTTTTACAGGGTAGTTAGTGTAGGATTTAGACGGGAGGTGGGAGCAGTTTTAAGCATAGTTAATAATAGGCTGGACTTCTACTTTAAATATTTTCCAATAGAAGTTAGAACAGAATGTTCCTGAGTAAATAGACTGCTCTCCTACAAACTCACAACTGGCATCTTAATAATTTGAAATCAGTCCCTATTAATGATAACTATGATCCCCACTGTCCTAACCCTCTGCACCAACGCTCATAGTCAACACTTCAAGAAGGTTGTGCCCCATTGATACCCTTGGATCTATAAATAAAACCAATGCTGTTTTCTGTACATAGATCCTATGTTCCCCTTTACTCACCGCACAGCCATCTCTGAGGGCCTTGATGTATGGACTTGTGTGGAAGGAGAGATCCTCATCATTGGAGCCCATGAAGTGCAATGCCTTTTGATAGGTGTCGCCTGAGGCTAGGTGCCAGGCAGCAGAGCGATGGCAGTGATATGTGAAGTTCTGGCGAGCACCCACACTTAGGAGGCGAAGGAAGGTCAGTTGGACAACACCAATGGGATTATCATCTAAGTCCACAAAAGAGAACTGCAGAAAATGATACACACAAACACCAGTGAGGGAACATCAACAGAAAGAATCAATATGATGCACAGTGCAAAAGTAAAAATCTCTTGGAGATCGACTGTGTTGTAGCAAAGAGCTTATCACGTGTGGGGAACAATGCAGTTCTGATCACAAGGATAAATAACAGCAAAACTTATACACCACCAATTGATCCAGGGAATATCTGATTGCCTCTTGGGGATCAGAGAGGATTTTTTTCCCTTGCTGGAGCAAATTGGATTTGCCATGCTTTATTTGGATTTGTTTACCTTCCTCTGGATCAACTATGGGTATTGGGTTGTGCATATGGAGGTTTTCTGTTTGAGTGTGTTGTTTTTCATTATTTTCCCTGTTGGTTGAACTTGATGGACTTGTGTCTTTTTTCAACCAGATTAACTATGTAACTATGTAACCTCCAGGTAGTATCTAGGCTTGAACACTCCCTCCTGCCTACATTTCTATAGGCCATTCAGGCAGCCCATTTGAGTTGCCACTTTAAACTAGGCTTCCTTCAAAGGTTGCTAAGGGTTCCTCATGCTGTAGCTGATTAACATTTCATATGATGACCCTGCATAGTGCCAGGGCCAACATCACTTGACAATGCCAGTAGCACAAAACCACTTAGCTCTTTAACGCTTTGTAAAGACAGCCATCACTGTAAGGGTTGCATTCCTCCTACTGACCACCAATGTAAGAGGCATTTTTTCCCATTGATCCTAGATGATTTGGTTTTAGTAAGGATTTCCAAAAATTTGAAAATTATGATAGGGGTTCTTATGGGGTAAAAAGTTTGAGAAAGGACCAATGAAATGTATGAATGAGGAGACAGAGTAGGTAAGCTTAGACCTGACATGACCAGAAAATGTTGAAACCTTGCACATCTTAGCAGCTCAAGCATACTTTAAGTGCAGATAAAGAAAAGGATTCTTCTGAATGGAGGCAGAATGAATAATAAAGGGGAAATGTAATGGGCAATTTTATGAGAAACACGTGTTGTATTCAAGTATTCATGAGAGATATAATAATGTTTGTAAAATTACCCACATACACGTTACAGCTTTTTAAAAAGATCATTGGAGTAATCACGGACTGCTGATAATGTGCAAAGCATCTCTGAAGCATTATTTTTCTCTTACCCTACTGCCACTCCTGAATTTGCTGTACCAAGTCTCTTTCTTTTCCGAGCTCCAGGGAGACATCTTCACCTAAGTGACAAAGAAAAGTTAGTAAGCCACCATTGTACATCTTTGACCTGAAAAATCACCATTAAAGGGAGCAAATTCTTATTAAAACTACTATGGTGGATTTCATTCTAGAGTGCAACCTCTTTCATTCCTTCTGCCTTTGTGTCTGATGTGGGGAATGGACCACTGGAGGAGCTGGCAGCCAGAACTGGGATTGTGTCGGCAAGTGCATTGTTAGCTGAGCGCTGCGTTGTCCATTCATTAAAGGGAATGTTTAATCTTTTAATTTGTTTTTCAGATATAATTCAAAGTGATGTAAATAATCTTATCAATCACTAGTAACGATCCAAAATCTTGTTCATGTGTATAATTGATTATATATGTCCTAAATGGTCAGGTATATTTCTTTAGTACACATGCAGACTCGGCTACACAAAGAGGTGGATTTGCTAAAACTGAAGAGCGCAAAATCTGGTGAAGCTGTGCATGGTCGCCAATCAGCTTCTAACTTCAGATTGTTCAACTAAGCTTTGGCGTACAGTCTGGAAGCTAACTGGTTTCTATGCAGAGTTGAACCAAATTTTGCACCCTGCAGTTTTAGTAAATCTCCCCCAGGGACTACTTTTTACTGCTCCTCCTCACAATGCAATTTTGTGATTTGGCTGCTTCATTAAAAACAATGAACCCCCTGTATGATTGATATCATATCTCAGCATCCATTAAGCAACAAGCCAGAGGATTTGTAGTAGTTTATCTACCCTGCCTCCAGTGGAATATTTAAAAAAATGTGTGCGAATAATGAATAAAGCTGAACATATAAAACATGAAAGTAACATTAAAATTATTTTACAGCACTCCAAAAGTGACTTACAATAAATGCACACCAAAAATATTTTATGATTTCCCTTTTAAAATATACTACTTACCTTCTCAATGCGCTTGCTGGGTAAGATGCAAGACTCTGCCCCCGCAGTGAAGTTACAGAAGACTTTGAAGGAGTCTCGTGCACAGCCCTTGTTAGGATCAATCCAGTATTCACCTAAAAAAAAGAGGGAGTTTTAACTATGGTGTGTGACTTTATGTAATACGGCTCAGTTTTGGAGCTTTCACAATTCTGCTGCTTGGCTGCTTCTGGTACAGGACAAGGTAAGTATACAGAACAAGAGGTTTGTCTTGTGTTTGGCTTCGTATGGGGAATGTTTAGAATTTTTTTTTTTTTATTATGGAAAGCGCGAACACCAACATTTTTAATGTATTTCTGATCAAGTAAATATGAAATATTACTTATAAATTCACAGAGCACAGAGATCCCTTTTACATGCTTTCCAGGCCTTCCTTGTCTACTATGCATAAAAAAGCTCAGTAAAAGGCTCCATATCTCAACCCAGTTCAAAAATGGTAATAAAAATATATGAATCCATTTAAAAAGAAATACATTTAAAGAAAGCAAATTAAATTTATCCTAAAATGATAAACTTACCACAGATTAAGGTTTAAGTGCTAGGAGGTTAGGTTGTGTGTTTAGGACTCATGCAGGTAAATAATTAAAGTATCTACTGGCCCCATGACATATATACTAGGGTTCCTGGATGAGGAGCTTTATACACTTTAGGTCAGAACCGCTATTACTAGGCTCTTGTTCTTGGCACGCAAATGCATATTGTTAAAGTGGCCTGCATCCGCACCCCCTACATTGGAGGACTGGCAGACGAATGCTAATTCCACCTTGTTGAATGAGAAACAACTTATGAGGCAGCGAGAGACTCCCTTTAAATTCAATAAGATTTTGGACCCTTGGCTTCAGACTTCAGGTTTACCCCCTATAGCTCTTGTGTCCTTGCGTATTCTACAATGTTAGCTGTTTTTTGTTTTTGGTCTCTGCCTGGAGATATGTGGGTACTAAAACACAAGCATTATATGACACCGTTATTAGAAGGAAAGCACGAAATATTGTGGGCATAATTTTGGCACATTACTTTTGGACGTTGTACGGTGTGAGTTTCTAAACGGTGTTTCAATGGTTTATGTCAATACTATATGTAAATTATGCCTCACTGTAGGAAAAAGCAACTTAAGTCAGAAAAGTATTAGGTGTTGTGATGTGTTCTATTGCTACATGACAGCAGGGATGCAATGGAGTACTGTTTTGATACCACTTATAGCTTTGACCCCATCATATTTATGTGTATATAAGGATATTAATGTCTTATGTGAGGAATGCACAGCCAGATTGTAGGTTGTTACGTTGGAGCGATTTTGTGGACTGTAAACTGTTAAAAAAAGTATTTGGGAAAAAAAGTATATACTACATAAAGCTGACATTTTCTTTTTATTTATTACATTTATTTTCTTTGGATTGAGTAATTGGATCTTTTGTAAGGTCCTATTTTTGTGTCTCATTTAAAAGAGATATTCTTTCAAACAGAGAAAATTCCCTCTTAGTTTCACCGGAAAGTTTTTATTTAGATAAATTCTAGGTGTTAGGGGGTGCTGTAGCATCAAGGATCTTTTTTAATTTAGGAAAACTTAAGTAAGCTGCGGGATTTACATGTTCTTAGTACCAGCATGAACAAACAGAGCCATGTTGTACGGTCGAAGAACCTATGTGCTGTACTAAATTTCACATTTAGGTCTCCTGCTGCAATGTAGAAATATCTCCAGTGCTGAAGTGTCACAACAGAAAAAACTGAAGCCCAAAATGGGTTTTCAGAAGTCTACCCATCAAACTTCCCACAGACTCAATGAGAAATAGAATAATGTTGGTCCTAAACTGCCAGAAGACCTCTCCCATCTGCAGAGCTAAAAAAAACCATATTTTTTTATATTTTAATTAATGATTACATAAAACTTTGCTTATAAAACCCCTATGAAGTTTAGCCCTTGTTGAGCCTGTCCTTGCTTTTACATACCATCTGGAAGATCTGGATGGGACAATTGAAGGTCCTGGCATGTCCGAGCCGGGTGTTCCTTTGTACCCTTTGGTGCTCTGAATAACTCAATGTCTTTCTTTATAGCATTAAGAGATCCATAGATTTCCTCCATGCCATCAGTATACTCTACAGCCGACTCTTCTGCCATGATCTGACTGGCATCAATGGAACGTTTATTCTTCTTGGGCATCTGGAAAGGCAGTGGCTGGATGGCCTCCCCTGGTGGGCCCTGTTGAGGATGCATGAACAGTTAGCAATAAAATCCAACACACTCTGGGGAAGATTTACTAAAACTGGAGCACTTAGAATCTGGTGCAGTTGTTCATGGTAGCCAATCAGCTTCTAACTTCAGCTTGTTCAATTAAGCTTTGACAATAGAAAAAAAACCTGGAAGCTGATTGGTTTCTGTACAGGGGTTTAAGCAGATTTTGCACTGTACATTTTACTACAAAATATTTTAATAATTATTCACAGACGTATGTACTTGGAATCAACGGTATTTATTAATTTCATATGCAGGCTCTGCTTCTTACTTTACAATGCTACACAACGATTATACTTTAATGCTCCTATTCACAGTGCATCCAGAAATTATTCACAGCGCTTAACTTTTGCCACATTTTATTACGTTACAGCTGTATTTCAAAATGGACTCAATTCATTTTTTTCTTCAACATTCTACAAACAATACCCCATAATGACAATGTGAAAGAAGTTCATTTTGAAATCTTTGCAATTTATTAAATGTAAAAAAACCAAAAAAAAATGTGTACATAAGTATTCACAGCCTTTGCTCAATACTTTGCACCAATTACAGCCTCAAGTCATTTGCTATAAGATGCTATAAGCTTGGCACACCTATTTTTGGGTAATTTCTCCCATTGTTCCTTGCAGTACCTCTCAAGCTCCATCAGGTTGGATGGGAAGCATCTGTGCACAGCCATTTTCAGATCTCCCCAGAGATGTTCAATCGGGTTCAAGATTGGGCTCTGGCTGGGCCACTACAGGACATTCACAGAGTTGGCCCGTAGTCACTCCTTTGTTATGTGGGCTGTGTGCTTAGGGTCGTTGTCCTGTTGAAAGATTAATCGTCGCCCCAGTCTAAGGTCCAGACCGCTCTGGAACAGGTTTTCATCAAGGATGTCTCTGTACATTGCTGCATTCATTTTTCCTTCAATCCTGACTAGTCTCTCAGTTCCTGCCGCTGAAAAACATTCCCACAGCATGATGCTGCCACCACCATGCTTCACTTTAGGGATGGCATTGGCCTGGTGGTAAGCGGTGCCTGATTTCCTCCAGACATGATGCTTGGCATTCAGGCCAAAGAGTTAAATCTTTGTTGCATCAGATCATAGAGTTTTGTTTCACATGGTCTGAGAGTCCCTCAGGTGCCATCTGGCAAACTCCAGGTGGGCTGCCATTTGCCTTTTACTGAGTAGTGGCTTCCGTCTGGCCACTCTACCATGCAGGCCTGATTGGTGGAGTGCTGCAGAGATGGTTGTTCTTCTGGAAGGTTCTCCTCTCTCCACAGAGAAATGCTGGAGCTCTTTTAGAGTGACCATCGGGTGCTTGGTTACCTCCCTGGCTAAGGCCCTTCTGCCTCGATCGCTCATTTTGGCCGGGTGGCCCGCTCTAGGAAGATTCCTGGTGGTTCCAAACTGCTTCCATTTACAGGATGATGGAGGCCACTGTGCTCATTGGGACCTTCAATGCTGCAGAAATGTTTCTTTACCCTTCCCCAGATCTGTGCCTTGATACCATCCTGACTCAGAGGTCTACGAACAATTCCTTGGACTTCATGGCTTCGTTTGTGTTCTGACATGCACTGTTAACTGTGGGACCTTATATAGACAGGTTTATGCCTTTCCTAATCATGTCCAATCAACTGAATTTCCCACAGGTGGACTCCAATCAAGTTGTGGAAACATCTCAAGGATGATCAATGGGAACGGGATGCACCAGAGCTCAATTTTGAGTGTCATGGCAAAGGCTGTGAATACTTCTGTACATGTGTTTTTTTTTCCTTTTTTATTTTTAAGAAATTGCAAAAATTTGAAAATGAACTTCTTTCACGTTGTCATTATAAGGGATTGTTTGTAGAGTGTTGAGGGAAAAAATGAATTTAATCAATTTTGCAATAAGTCTGTAACATAACAAAATGTGGCAAAAGTTAAGCGCTTTGAATACTTTCTAGATGCACTGTACAATACAAGTCCAACTTAATAAAAACAGTGCACACCTTCTGTTGCTGATATCTTAACAGCTTTAATGCCAAAAAGATCTGGACCCTTTTAGACCGTAAGCTCCCAAGAGCAGGGCCGCCCTAACCCTCTTATCTTGAATTGTACTGTAACCGTACCATCTGTTGGCAGTATATAAATCCTGTATATTTTGTTTTTAAAATGTCAGCCAAATTACAATTTTGCATCACTTTAACAAATTCAGACAAAAATGTTTAATGTATTTATTACTTCTTACAGTAATCCCCCTGACAATGCTTTAAGCTACTTTTCTCTCCCCGGAGAATAGCACCACCTTTGTCCAGGCACTATCCAGGATCATAATCTAGTTACTGAATTAATATGCTAACTTAACTTCTAGTGATAAGATATACCATATGCTACTGGTGTGACCTAGGTCTCACATGCACAACTTTTCTGAGGGAGAATTATATTTATGTGACAAAGTTTCACTTACCGGAGGACCTGGAGGACCTTGTATTCCCTTCTGTCCCTTGGGTCCAGCTTGTCCCTGTGTGCCAGCAAAAAAAATTTAGATAACTTGGTATAGACAAGAACACAGAGAATTTATGAAAACACACATAGTTGTATTTAGAATATCTTTCAGTAGTCGTAGCATACTAGTGTACCATTCCTAACAACATGAAAAGTATAGTGTTCATAAGCTGTGATGTACGAAATCTAGACCTGATCCATATAAAATGGAAGCAAGAAAAAATTACTCACCGTGGCTCCTTTAGCTCCCTTAGGACCTAGAGGACCCTAAACAGGATATAGGCATTAAAGAAATATTTAAATGTAATACATGAATAAATAAATATAATGCATTTACATCATCTCTGTCATCCATGCAACAAGTAATGGAAATCACTGAACTACTACTCATAAGGCATTGCAACTGTGCTAAAGAAAGAAAGTCAATCCAATTTAACGCACACTCCGCTCCTCACAAGACCTCCTTCTCTCTAGTTCCCTAGTCTCCTCCTCCATGCCCGCCTCCAGGACTTCTCCAGGGTGTCACCCATCTCTGGAACTCCCTGCCCAAAACCATCAGATTATCACCTACTCTCCTCTCCTTTAGGCGCAACCCTGAAAACCCATCTCTTCAGGGAAGCCTACCCCACCCCCTGCTAACTTGCCGACCTCCTCCACTCTTCCTTCCTACACTCCATCCCCCACAGCTATCTCCTCCTGTGCCACCATCCCCTCCCTCCTAGATTGTAAGCTCGAAAAAACAAGGCCCTCAATCCCCTCATGTTTTGCATTGTATTGGTATTGTTCTGTCACATGTTCTGTCCCCCTTTGTAATGTACTGCGCTGAGCGAACTATTGGCGCTTTATAAATACTGTATAAATAATAATAATAACTTTCATCTAAGCCATTCATCCATATTCAGCAGTCTACTTTCTGGTTTCTGGTAAGAACTGCAGGCTCTTGTCACATGACTATACTTCCCTCTGATGCTGCAATGTGTGTGTGGCTGGAGTGCACTCAGATAGAGGGAAATGGATCAGTGTCTATATTTGTAACTAAATTCAGAAACAGATCGCAAGGCCAAAAAACAGTCTGAACGCATCTGCTGGTATGCAGGCACAAGGCTGGTTTACCCACTGTGTGGGGCTGCAATGAGACTTGCGAAGTAGTGTGCCTCCACTGATGACTGTCTCTTAGTGTGTAGCAATGATACTTCTCTAAAGGAGGAAACGTTTTCTGGGCCAAACCAGGATTCAAAAATGACTGTATGGTTGCTTTCTAAATTCTGGTGCTCTGAAATTGCAACGACTATAGGGATTTCATTTTTGGGACAACTTGGTGCACAAGATAAATTCAAAGATATAATTATCAGAGATTGGGCTGTGTCACCAGAGCCATTTTAAATGAGAAATCTTCATGTTTTAATAGAGTACAGTTTTAGGTGTATCCTGCATCTTTCCATGATTACACCACATTCATCTGTAGTTAGATGTTGGGAGGTGGTCAAAGCCTGTTTGGTTACCCTAAAAAACATATTTTCACATAACCTAAGACTTACATTGGATGTGAAGAACCAATCCATTCTCTAAACAATATGTTTTTCTCTCTAAAATAAATTACTTTTCAATATAAGACCAAGAAACTTACAGGGGGGCCAGCAGATCCACCTGGACCGATAGGACCAGTGACACCAGAAATACCCTATGGAAGGAAGGGAGACAGAGTCAAACACAAATAAAACTGTGCATTTATACCAAATGACTCCTCTGAAATGAGAATTAATTGCTCACAGGCTCTCCTTTCTGTCCTGTTGTCCCATGTGGTCCTGGAAGGCCTCTGTCTCCTTTCTCTCCTTGCTCTCCAGTTGGACCAATAAGACCAATAAGTCCTGGGTGACCCTGAGGGAAGAAGGGAACATATGTTGGTAAGATCATTTATCATCATGACATCTAAGTATACTCCATATATCATACACATCATGTTATTAGGTTCTTACCTTCTCTCCTTTAGCTCCAGTATCTCCCTTCAAGCCTGGCAACCCAGGAGGTCCCTATGAAAAAAGCCAATTTAAATTATTTTCTCCTGAAATATATACTAATATACCAGTATGGACATGGACATTCAGACAACACACGTACCACTGGACCTGGAGGTCCGGCTTGACCTGTTGCACCGGGACGACCTTGTTCACCCTGTAGGTAATGAAAGGAGATGTATGAATGTATTTATGTTTAGCAATTTATATACCCTTTATGTTCATTTCCAAACTGTGCCCATATTTCCAATGCTCTGAAAATTGTGGTTTAGTTGTTCTATACAGTATTTTAGTAGGAAATCAAGCTCAGTACATTTTTTCTTATGGTTGTAGTTGACCAAATGCTCAGCTTTGTTAATCAAAGGATTGAAAATAAAACTGGAAAAATGGGACAAACAAAGAGTCAGTTTAACACATTGCTGGAAATTAATAAATAAATGTCACTGTTAGGATTAAAAAGCTGATTCCAAATAATAGCTAATGACTAACATCAGTCCTGTCAGGTCAGTCTTGATCATATGTGTTTAAGGCCAGAACTGAAACACAGTTAATGTGTGTGTGGTCTTCAAAACAGTAATGGACTGGGGTGATCCAGATGGCTTCCCTCAAACAGTCCATCTCTTCAAATTTTGGCAATCATGTATGAAGATGTGATGATCAAATGCAGTCTAAGAAGACATAGATCTTGGTGTGAATGGGGCATTTGAAATGGATAGTAGATGAGTTCATATGGGGCCTAACATAAGTGTTCCCTCGGCCTGGGTGCTAAACCTCCAGAATAATCACATTTGGCAATCTACAGTATATGTATGGCCATGTATGCAGGAAATATGATAGCTTCTAAACTCTTCATGTTCAGAATGTCCTTTGCTTAACATGATACACAGGGAACTTTTTGGTAAAAAAAAAGTGATTGAAAAATAAAATGATTGAAAGATGTGATTTAAAAACATGGTTGGATGCTAATTCTGTTTATTTCTTTTGAGTCAGGACCCAATGGAACTTATACATGTTGGTCAACATTTTCTTGCATATTTATTCATGAATTCCAACATGTATTGTCTAATCGAAATATGCATACATTCAGTAAGATCAGTGGATGCTTTGTTCTTTAAGCCCGGGTTCACACTGATGCTGTGCGGAATTTGCAGCGGTTTCTGTGCGAATTCCACACCGCATCACAATCGCACCCCGTTCATGTGAACCACTGCGGGTGTGTATGTTAAGTTAACAACACCCCGAAATCCGTCCGCAAAACGTGGTGGAATGTGCAGAATCAGATCGCATAGGTGTGAATACCCATGCGATCCGATTCTAGTGCGGACCAAAAAAAGGTCCTGCACATTTTTGGTGCGGATGTGGTACAATGTGAGCCATATAAAATGTATGGCCCAAATTGCACAGCACAGAATTGGCTTGTGATTTGCACAGGAATGCGGTGCAGTTCCTGTGCGAATCACATGCTATGTGCTGCACCACACAAGTGTGAGCCAGGGCTAATTCATAGCGCAATTGTGATCAGTGTGCACCCTTGTGCCTTGGTGGTGGCATTTTGTATTTTGTAAAATGACCATAATAATATTAAAAAAAGAGATCCAATTAAAAAACGTAAGAAGCCAGAAAAAAATTGTAAAGGAACAAAGTTTCACACTGCCAACATTCCAGAAACTTGTTTCAACACCTTCTTAAATATACCACACTGAATACATTTTAAGATTGAGTGGATAAGGTGCTGTATGCATCTACTGACTTTTGAGTGGTTCTAGGTGTTAAGGTATGGCTGGGAAGACTTTGCTTTTTAACTGATAATTTCTCACCTAGCACCACTGATAGCTCTGATGTGTAGCTTCTATGGTTCTAGAAAGGATTATACAAGTGCTTTGCACAAATTAAAAGTAAATTAAAACAGTCAGTGCAAGAATGATATAGGCATCATAAGGTACTTACTTCTACCTGTTTCAGTACTAGACATTGACCTGATCTGCCAAAAAAGTAAATGCATAGCGGAGTCCAAGAATCCGGATACAAAATTATGACCAGATGTTACAGAGTCTCTACTTTTCTAAATAAAATCTTCCCTTGGTCTTTCCCTGGTGCTGGCGATGTAAGTGCTCAAGGAGAGACATTCAAAGACTAATCAAGCAACTCATGGGAATAGAACTAACAGGCAATTCCACAGCCCTTCTCTTGACTCCACTACCCAAGGCCAGGTAAAAAAAATTCCCTACATATTCATCACCTCAATGAAGCAAGATCATGCATATGTCTGAAGTGGAAGAGTTCTAAACTCTCCTCTACAGGCCTGTTGATCTCAGCAGTTTTTAACCATATGGAAGACCTTAATACCTCATTGAAACGCAGGGAAGAAAAATTTCACTCCACTTGGTTCTACTGAAATGATTTCTGCTTCATGCAAAGATATCAAGAATACATTGCGACCCAATCTGAGATTATTAATGGGACTTGGCTTGATATCCACATGGATTCCCAACCTACACACTGACAGTGGGACCTTGGGGAGAAGGAGTGTGAAAGGGGCGCTTTCCTTTAGTCCCTCTGTCTCTTCCTGGTTAGTGGTTCCTTCTCTCCCGCAGTTTCTTTCCTGTCACCCTGGTTCCCTTTTTTCTTTCTCTTTGCCATCCATTCCACACTTACCCCCCTTTTTTATATTCTGCTGAATGACATAAACTTTATTAACAATGACAATACTAAAAGGCCACATGCTAACATCATGACCAGCCTGAAGAAACTCTGCTATGTTTGATCTTTTTTTCTGTCCTACATAGCAATGATCAAGTTTTGAATGTGTCTTCCTCATAATGCATTTGAAAGATCACCCTGGAAAAACTTTATGTACTTTATCCTGTCAATATGGAATAACAAAATAATGAATTTTTTAAATATTTTATGTAAATTCTGCCTTTCTGAAAGTTAGTGTGTTCATAGTTCTTGGTACAGTCACTCCACCAATACCTACCCCCTCTTGTCCCCTACATGACAGAGCTAATGTCTGGTAGATGTGTATAGCACTGAATTGTGGCCAAAAGAGAACACTGTACAAGTGTACACCATGCTTGTGCTGGACTACTTCCTCTGAATGAGTCCTGAAAATGGTAGAACCATTATGATGTCTGCTATATAGCATCACTCTTTTCTTGGCTAGCTTAGCCATAGCGCAGGTTTGCTTTAAAACCATATTCCCAATTATAATTCATCTTATATCAATTAAGTGTTTAATTACTTCTATATATAAAGTCATTTTATGGTATACTCAGAAGATGCCTTTAAAGAGCCAAAGAACATGTGTTTTCATTGACAGGTGTGAGTATTAATTTCCTAACCTTTTGGCTTCCATGCTTTTAAACTATCAGCGTAATTTTATCAAACACGGTTATTTCTGGTAAATTGAGTGCCATGACATAAAATATTTGGAGACTAATTTAATCAGTTATTTATGTGAGTCTTGACTATTTGACTTGTATACTGACTTTTTGTAACAGTTTTCAAATTATTGTAGAAGACCATAAATCATATGTTTATATGAGTTGGAGCTCAGCATCCATGGAACACTTAGCATGAGCATTATTAACATGCTTCTTGAACTAAAAACTAAAAAAGAGACCAATAAAGCTATACTGGTTCCCTATGTGGGTGTACTGAAGAAATAGTAGATTCAACTACCACCTAAAGCCTAAATTGCTTTCCTTAGTTTTGGATGGAGTGGGAAAGAATTAAAAGTTCTATTAGGTTTTTACTGCTATCCAGGACTCCACTAAATGCATTTACTTTCATTTACTGCTTTGCTGACCAGACAGGAAGTGAGAGAAAATCAGCAACAGGGACACAGACAGATATAAAAATCTGATGGGGGTTCCAAACCTTCCTAAGCACAGGTGCCATTCAGAGATCGCTTTGCATTTTCTCAGCAAATGCAAAGCAATCTCTGATTGAACAAGATAGAGAGGAGGGGCAATAATGTCACACTCTCCACCTCATCCAATCAGAGAATGTTTTGAATTCATTAAGAATATACAAAGCATTCACTGAATGGTTCCATGTCCAGCAGCCTATCTCCTGTCTTCATAATGCAACAGGGCAGCTGATCAGCACAGGAAGCAAGTAAGATCACTGGAGTAGAGGTGCCTACTAAAGTGATTTCCAGCTTGGATGGCAGATGGCAATAAAAAGCCCAACAAAGATTATAACCCTGCCCTGGTCCATCCAAAATAAAAGAAAATGCTTTGAATGAAGTTGGACATTTAAAATATGAAGAAAAATATCAGATAATTAGCAAAAAGTGGAGTAAAACCAACTGGAATTGAGCTATTGTCCAGTTCAACTGCCTGTTCTCATTTTTCAAATGAAGCACATACTCTGGTAGTCCTGGATAAATCAGTGCCTTGTTTTTTTTAATGAAAGTGCAATAAAGTCATATTAATCAATGGGAATTTAAGTGGAGCTAAGCCTAAGTTTTGTAAAGCAGCGAGCAGGCAGCCAAGATTAGTAACATGTAGGCATATTTTGACAATTAACATTTTTTTGTGTTTTTTATTAAGGGTGACTCATACATTGTTTGACTTCTACCAATGAGTATTGTCTAAACACATTTTATGAAGCATTTCACTTACCACAGCACCAGGCAAGCCTCTCAGTCCTTCGGGACCTTGTTTTCCTGCAGGTCCCTGAGGTCCAACAGCACCTGTCTTTCCTTGAGGTCCCAAAGCTCCAGCCTCTCCCTGAAATTAACCATTGCCACAATGAGAAAAACAATTTTATTCAAAGGTAAGAAAAAGCCTTTTATAAATAACACATGTTTACAAATCTTTGATTACAATTTTTGGACCTTAAAAATATCAGAATGGTACCTTAGCTCCTTTTTCCCCTCCACGTCCTTCAGGGCCAGGTGGACCAGCAGGACCCTGAAAGATGAGCAAACTGTGAGACCCAAAAAAACAGGAAAGCAAGATGATCAAAGGAAAAGTAAAAGGTAGGTTAAAAAAGAGGTTATCTTGTATTTATCTTTAATTTTGTTAGTGGGATTCTTGTATCAAATCCAGAAGATATAAAAATGACAAAGGTCGTTGATCAGGATGACTACCACCAGGACAAATAGTTCACAAAATATAAGAATACAGTATATACTTACTCTCTTGCCGGGAGGTCCAGGGGGTCCATTCTCACCAGTTGGACCAGGAGATCCCTGTTAAAGAAATTAGGAGATCATACTTATAAACAAAACATAAAACATTAAGACCTATATCAAGGATTGCATAGACAGATGTCTCATGAATATATCTTATTAAATGTTTATTATAAAATACAATTTAATAGTTTGTCATTTTCACCTCTGTAAGCTGTAGAGTCTGCAAAAGCTTTTTGCATCCAGTATATTCTTGGTTCATTATCATATGTGCATGTGAGTTTAATCAGTTGTTATACATTAAATAACTGATACCTATTATAAATTGGTTTTTGGATTGGTTCTCTTTTATAAATGGTACCTAATGCATTGTTTGTTGTTTTTTCCCAATATCTCAATGTTTCCTTTCGTTTACTTACCGCCTCTCCTTGTTCTCCATCTTCTCCTCTTTCACCCTTTGCACCATCTTGTCCCTGTGTTAAAAAAAAAACACGAATGACTAAACTTTGAAGATGTTAAAGGACATAATAACATTGCTTCTGAAACAGAAACACAACTCTAAACAATGGTCCATAGGTTAGATAAGGCCTCTTGAAGGATTCTTTGGTAGACAGAGGCTTCCTTTAACATTACTTATCCAGGAAACTGCACAGGGACAGCACTGTATTTGCACTCTAGTAGCTCAATCTCTCAACTTCCTTCAATCCATAATGAAGTACAATGTTTAAAGGAATCCTGTAGTGAGGAGGCATGGGGTGTCCACTGTTGACCTCTACTACCAGGTTATACTAGTTTTCTGTCTGTCATGCGGACCCAATGACACCAACACTTTCTGTGTTGTTCTAGAATCAGGTATGCAGATTGGAGTTTTGACTCCACTCCAGTTTCTTGATCTGCATACGTTTTCCAGCTCATTGGTTTAAAGTAAAAGCCAGAGACAGCCAGGCTACTGGAATTTGTAGAAAGAAGTAGCCAGTGTATTAATAGCCTCTGTAATATTAGGGGTTTCCTTTTAAAATGAACTTTAAAAAATGTTTAATGCAGAGTGGGAAATATTTAATCCCTGTACCCAGGTCTTTACTTCTGTTTTTACCCCAAAATGATTATATACTCTAATTTCCAGTACTACTATGACAGCTAACCTCCCTAGCCCCCTGATGATGTTCTTCAGCGACAAATCTTCAGTTTAAGAAATCACAGATAAGTCATTTGCATTCCTTAAAAATCAACATTGAATTAATTTGATAGACACTTTAAATTTATTGTCTCCATACTTACTCTAGGTCCCATCTCTCCAGGGGGTCCGGGATCTCCAGGGAAACCTACAGGACCCTGAATAATGACAAAGATAGTTAAAAGTAATCTGAGGTCATCTGAAGATCTGAGTCCACTAGAATAAAATGTTCATATTAAACACAACTGAATAAATATAACTAAACATATGCTGTATACTGATGGGCTCAGCTGTGCATTTCACAAAACCACCCTTGAGGGTTTCAAAACTCATGACTATCCCACAAAAAAATAATAATAATACAGTTGGGGTATGTATACTATGTTGACCTATACCCATTGTGTTTTTAAAGGTCTTTTGCATTGTTATTAGTTAACATTTTGTATTTACTATGGTTATCTAAAGTGGGCAAAGTGAATCTCTTACATATGTTTTATATACCGTATAGAAAAACTACACAAGAGTCAATGAAACTTGCCAAAGGCTTTTGCATAGGTAGTCCGAACTGCTTGGCCTAAGCTAAAATATCACTCTAATAAAGAGATCCTCCCTAAAATAAATAAATAAATAAATAAAGAAATAAATCAATCAATCAATCTCAAAGATGATGATAGCAGTTTAAGGCAAGCTTTATGGCTAGCCAGTTTTGGCTCTTTGAAAGATGATCCATTCCTTTGCAATCTTATCTATAAGACCACTGGACTTCCATGAACAGTTTATTTGGCGAAAATGGATCAGAAGGAGTAGTGCCACATTAAACTCTGTGGAGGCCCCCAGGCAGACTTTGGTTTCCCCCTCGCAGGCTTCTGGAGGTTTTTCATGTGCACGCTCTCGTGGGATAACATTGAATTATATAGTGTGCACTTCGACTGCTAAATGGAGACCATTACTACTGTACATTACACGTACGTAGGTTGCACCAAAATGTTTTACAAACTGAGTTCTGAAAGAAAGTGAGCTTTTAAGAGAATAACTATAATGTGAAAATAGTATTTTCTCTATAGAGTCTTTAATATATAGTTCTTCTTTGAGCTGATTTGTTTTTTCTATTATTTGTAAACAATTTAAGAAATCTTCATTGTAATTTTCTTTCAAGATGAAATGAAAATTATTTTGATCCTTTGACATGGGGCCTTTAAACTGTGCGAGGTCCATAGGTCAGTGCCTGCTCTGCCTATTTGGTAACTGGGCACTAAGAAGGAGCCTCAATAACCTAATGTCTATGAATTTACAGTATACTGCTCACAGAAAAATAGTTAAACCACAGTTATAAATGTGTTTTAGTGCTAACCCTACAGAATTTCATTTGTGAAAAGTTTACTAAATTCCAAAATAAAAGATTCTAAAATGCATTCATTCAGATTACCCTACAATTAAAAAGTAAAAGAAATCCCCTTGCAGAGCATAACTGACAACTGACTACAATTTAATCTTTGGAAACACCCCAAATGCAGAGTATAAAAAAGTGGAGGACAGGACAGTATGTGGACACCATATTGAACTAGGCACACCTGAATGTTGATACCCTTTTGTAAAAACTCCACCTCTTGCATTGTTTTACTAACAACAGCCTTTGCTAGAACGCTCTATTAGTTGACAGTTGACATATGGGTTGACGTTATATGCAGAACTATTACTTTTCAACTATAAAGACCACTCAAGAGAATGGTTTCATGCTTCTTGATCTATGAAGAGCATTCTGATCCTCTAAACAATTCCTGCGCTCCCTTCACCTACAGTTCTCTAGCTGAATTCAGCCACAAATATCCAGAGGTAGACAGACGAGGGAAACCAAATAAGGGAAAGTTTTCACAGTTTGTAAATCTTGAAGAACAGCTAGGTCCCCCAGGTATCTATGCAGTATCTGAAGGGTGAAGAAGTTCCCTCATATCATTCTACCCTAGCCTAAAATTATTTATCTTAACTACAGCCTTGAGGTACTAGCAGATAATCTATACAGGGACCTGGAAGCTTAGATTTAATCCTGCATTGGTCTGCTAAACGTGTATGTCGTTGTATTTGTCTCAACCATTGGTTAAACGTTCAACCTACTGGAAGGTCCACTGTATAACACTAATTGTTTAACTAAAGTCTTTCAATTACTAGTTATTTCTAAGATGTGGAGATGACCTCTATATACTAACTGGATTTCCTTTAGGTCCATCGTCACCAACAGGTCCTTTTCCACCTGGGGGTCCAGGGTCACCAGGTTGACCAGACTCTCCCTTTTCACCTCTGTCTCCACGTGGTCCCTACAGGGCAAAAACCAAAAAAATATTTCAAAGGTGACATTAGTATACCTAATAATTCATTAAGCTGTGTGGTGCTAAGCAATGGATTATCACATATAATTTGACATCTATATCCATAAGACAAAACAATAAGTGAAAGCTCACCTTAGGTCCAGGTTCTCCTTGGATACCAGGAACACCTGTCTCACCAGGTTCACCCTAAAGTGAAAAATATAAAGTTACTGTACCCTTTTTTATGTATCCTATGCATAAAGCAACATTTCTCATTCACACTTCCTTTGGTTATAATCAGTTATCATTGTCACTGTTTTATGAGCTACCCTACCCTATCTGAAGCCATCAAAGTAACCCACCATGCTTGACACTGATTCTGTATGTGCAAAATTACACTTTACAAAACAAAAATCTACTAACGTTTTGCTACCATAGCTGACCACTGGTCAGGAAACACCTGGATTTGGAATTTTCTGTAAAGCCATGTTTGTTTGAGAGACTTCTGTTTGAGATCTAACTTGTATGTGCTAAAAAAAAAAAACTTGATGATCATCTAGTGTTTCTTTTACAAACACACATGTGACTGTTTGTTTATGTTTGCATTGCATAAATATAATTTAATACACCCCATAATTATGCCACAAATTCAATGAAAACTCCTGAAATGTGTATATACAAGGACCTTACCTTCTCTCCTTGAGGTCCCAAGTTTCCAATTCCACCAGGAGGACCTTGTGGACCCTGTAGAAGACAATAGAAGATTGTTATGATACAAAAGAATAAAGAAAAGTGAGGAAACAAAGACGATAACTTGAGCAATGATTAATAATAAGCTCAGAAAACAGTATTAGTAATTTGAAGACAATTTGAAACTCAATTAAAAGTAGTGTGATGGTGTGATGATTCTAAAAATATCAGGTTGGTGCATATGCATGTATTCGGAAGGCCATAATTTTAAATTCTTGGGGTTTTTTTTACATTCAGCCATAGACATTAGAGGATAGTCAGACATGCAAGCATGGCCTGAATGACTATCCATCTTGGTCAGCTGTAGGTCACCTGTAGCTGTGGGGCAATGAAAAGTGCAGGGAAAAGCACATTACCTCAGATAATGGCTTATTATGGGGAAAACAACAGAGATTTAGACCAGGATTTCCAACATGTTTCCTTACTGTTCCCCCCTTTCCTAGATCTTTTGGTCAATGATATCTTCAGGTGCCATTAGACATGAAATTATCAGCCAATCCAACCAATATTAGATTCAGTAATCATAGTCTTATATCTATGGAAACCTGTCAAATGTTTGGATCATGTGGATAAGGGAAATATCAGAAAATGAATTTGTAGCAAACAAACACTCACATCAGCTCCAGATGGGCCAGCAGGTCCACGTGGTCCAGGTGGTCCGGGTGGGCCCTATGTTGAGAAATAAGGAATTATCGTAAGAATGTTTTCTAAAAAAAAGTGGAAGAAATTATATTGCATTGTACATGTGTACACTCACCATAGGTCCAACATCTCCAGTCTCTCCCTTCTCTCCAGCTGGTCCTGGTAATCCCTGCAATACAGGAGCATGTGTTTTTCAAATATATATAATACAATATATGTACATATCTTGCTGCCTGAATTATCACATCAGTTAAAGTAACTGTATCAATTAGTTTTGTAGCACAAAGCTTTTCAGTGTATTATTTTAAAGTATTATGAAGCTATAGTTGACAGCTATGGTATTTTAAAGTGAAGCTATCTGTTAGTAAGGTGTGTTGATTTCCTATTATGTTTTTTTACAGCAAACTTGTCAGAATGTTTAAAACGTAGTAATATTTTTTACATATGTTCTAAATTTAAACTAGATTCCAGGAATTCAGCCACCTTGTAAAAAGTGAAGCCACACTACGAGTTAAATGCAGCGAGGGGAATGACATCTCTCAGACTTCTCTCAATTATTTACATCTGAATAGTTTTTTGCTCCGGGATCTGAGTGGGGAAAAGCACACAGAGCAACTATGGCCACCCCTTCCCTCTGTTCATTCACAGAAGCCTTTGTATTTGCTAAATGCGTTCACATAATATCAAGGCTTCTGTGACTGGGCAGGAGGAGGGAGAGGTGGACATAGCAGCTGCAGCAACTGTACTGTTTAACATGCAGAGATCAGAAGGGTCAGTGTCAGGCCCCCGAAATTAATGCAATAGCCACTTTCTGGGAGTACTATAAATCTTTCAGATATAAATAATTGAGATAAGTCCAGGAGATGTTATGCACCTTGTTTTGGACTTAACTCAAAATGTGCCTTCACCTTTTACAAAGGAGCTGAATTCCTGGAGTTCAGCTTCAGAAAATAAATATGGGTGTCTCATACAAATCAATTGTGCCTGTATGCTATGCTTCCTGCCGAGAAAGCACATCAGTGTGCATATGCTTGAAGGACCCTCTCTGATAGCTATTAAAGTTTACATTTTATTGCTGTTAACAAAGTTATAATACAAATATTAGACAGACCGATAATAACAATATCTACAAATCCACCATCGAACTTAAAATTATAACATTGTCACACAACATCACCATGATTCTGGACCCCTCACATATTCCCTATAGCAAAGCCAATGAGTCATGTAGGTGAAATACATTACCTTAGTCAACCTGGAGGTCCAACCCCCTTCCTTTGATGCCGCATGCTTCCGTGTATGTGGGGACCACCAATGGGGATAGGGATGAGCCCTAACAAAGAGCCAGGGACTGATTGGCCCATTGCATAGATACCTGGGGGACCTAGCTGTTCATATATTCCAGCACTGTTACCCATAAATCATGGACATTCAAATAGCTATCATACACCCATAGGCATTGGTACTGTATATTTGGCTTCTAAAGGCTCTAAATAGGAAGCCATTATACGTATATACCATCATAATGATGTGTAGCCTTTGCAGATCTCAAGGTATACACTATTTCTGTATGGTGGGTATTTGTGGATAGTCTCTGCAAAATATAAACTCCCTAAGACTTTTTGAGAACTCCTATGTGTACATATGTATACAGTCATCTAGTATTGGACATTAAGGTAGAGATTTACTAAAACTGGAGCAGTCAGAATCTATCTGTTGCTTCTAACTTCAGCTTGTTCAATTAAGCTTTGACAATAAAACCTGGAAACTGATTTCTATTCAGAGCTGAACCAGATTTCGCACCATACAGTTTTAGTAAATAACCCCCACTGTGACCTATTAGGAGTACAAACAATTTGAGACAGTTGGATGAATTGACCACTTCAGATATTCTGGGAAATTAAGGAACGGACATTTTAACAGCTAGAAAGCCACAGGGATGTGAGTGAGAGTGATCTGGATAGACAGTGATGTTGTTTGATGTTGTCATTTGAAATTTGGTGGTGAATTTGGAGATGTTATCAATTTGGATAATTTTTGTATTATAACTTTGGTAACAACAATAAAATATTAACCTTTATATAGAATGTATACAGCCCATAAGTAACCATCTATTTATCCACATTCTTGTTGTGTATATTTTGTATATGCTTTGGGGGTTACAGGCCAACGTCCCTAATTTAGATGGACCAGACACACCTAATTAAAAAGTAGACTCCCATCTTTCTTTTTTCTGTTATTGTCATAACCCTCTCTGCTAGCACTGACAAGTGGGTTGGAGGTAAGTGGCTTAATCAACTATGTGAGTTGTGAGAGTGTACAGGCAATGGTCTACCAGCTACTTTTTAAAGATACAATATTCTGATATGTCATGGTAACAAGTATAAAGAGATACAGTTCCCCTAATTATACCGTATAGAACACACTGGATTCTAACTGTTTTGTTAAAACATAACTAATTGACAGTCTATATCAATAATTTATTTGCCGCTCGTCTCCATTTAATAAATGTGTCTCACAGCATTTTGGTCCTTTTGAGGTAACTAAATGCAAACAATTGTATACACTGAAGCAGAATCAATATTACAAATAATAAAAACAAGAGGTAATATAGAAAAATAGTGATTTATTTTCTGTATCATATTATTTTTGGTCCTGAAACATTTTTGCATGAGAGTCCTGCCATATCCAAATTTACTGAATTTATACACAAGGAGTCCTGCTTATCTCACCTGCAATCCAATAGGTCCAGGAGATCCTGGGAATCCACGAGTACCTTCATCTCCTTTTGCTCCAAATATTCCCTGCTGCCCACGGGGACCAGGCTCTCCATCAGAACCCTGATTAAAAGAAAAGTTTTTTTTATCATATATGTTTTTCAACTCAGTGAAAATGATCTACAACATTCTATATAGATCAATAACTGAGTGAAAGTTGAAGTTATGGCCCTTCATATTCTATATTTTGGAATGCCTGAAGTTGGTTCATGCATAGTTATTTTGCTCATGGTGTAACAGAAATGGTCTTAGAAAGCTAAAAAATAATTTCTTCAAGATCAAAATGGAATTCTCAAAATGAAATGTTTAACTGAACAGACTTTTTCCATCATAAACTATGATGTAGGTAAATAACTACCGTAACATGCTGCTCTTACTATTAGATTCCTTCACAGGAACTTTAAGTTCTACTTTGCTCTGAATTATAGAAGATCATCTAACATTTAGAAGAAGGATGGTCTTAGATGGGATCATGTACTCAAGTTCTAAAGGAAAGAAAGAAGTACACAGCTATGGACATAGAGCTTAGAAACAGAAATTCAGACCATCAAACCAAGAGAAGGAATGACCTTACAACCAGTGATGTATACTCTAACTCAATGATGTCTGGCTGGATATTCTGACTAGACAAAATGTTCTTATTTTCTCATCAATATTAGAAATATACTGTAAGGATCCTTGGGGCAGCTAATGATCACATCTGTACCAGAGTCATGCATGTTGTCCACTACTAATTCCATCATGGGAAGAAAATACCAACATTTCTATTCTTTTAAAAAGAATTCACAGCTAGGAACATCTACACTGTACAGCAAGACATGAGGTCACACCTGAGAACACATATCTACTGAAGGTGGGATGAACAGGAATACACAACTAAGAACATCAGCATTCTAGTGGGACCCTAATCATATGTATGCCCATGGTTCTGTGTCTATTGAAGTCCTGATATGGGATTTAACTATCTGAGAATAGGACCCTATTTTTTCCTGACCAACACTAGAAGAGCAAAGTCAAGATCGCCTAAGCCTTAGGTTAAGGAAAAACTAGCAGGCAGAAATATTTATCTTATAATTTGATGGAAAGGCGCAGCTAAAACATTTGTCTTTAAGGGTCTATGCACACTAGGAGCAGAAAAAATGGCAGAACCTCTGGCAGAAAAAAAAGCGGCAGAAAAAATGCTCATCGTGGCTCATACTGCACAAGAGTTTATGCATTAAGCATTTGCTTTTATACAGTAAGTGGTTTTTTTCCCTGGTTTTTTCCCATGTTTTTTCTTGAAAACATGTAATGCTCCTAAACACTGTTTATGCTCGTTAAGGCACATTTATGAGCTTTAAGCGTTTTTTCTGCCTGAAAGCTCCTCTCAGAAATGCAGTTCTGAAGGGTTTTTTTGCCCCTGAATGCTCCTCTGAAAATATGCCTGTAATCTACCTAATGTGCATGGCAACATAGGCTAACAGAGTTGTTCCTACAGGCTGAAGAAAGAACACAAAAAAGCCTGTATGAGCAGCATTTGTTATGCGCAATGTGCATGAACCCTAAAAGGAAAAAAGAGGTAACAAGACACAGGTAAGCGTCTAGGGCTAGAAGTTCACAGATCACAATTGTTCCTAATTGTATGCCCAATATGGTACCCTCTGAATGTATTTAGTGCATTTAGACAGGTAATAGGACCAAACATAATTCTTGTTTTGCCCTGATATACTTTAGTTTACTATTTATTGTGACTGTATTGCCAGCAGTCTATAAATTTGAACTGGTGCACACAAATTCAGAAAATGTATAGTCTATGTAAATTAATACATATCACAACGTAAAGAGCTTAATCTTACTTACCGGAGTACCTGGCTGTCCCACAGGGCCAATAGGACCAGGAGGACCTGGAGGACCCTAAATAAAAGCAGAAATATCCAATGAAATATCATTTTAAAAAAATATATTTCATACAAGCAAAAAAAAAGAAACTGGGATTACCATTCTATCATTATTAACCTTTCAGAGGCCTCCATTCAGGGCCAGGGCCATCTGTATTTCTTCCATAATTTAACCCTTTTATAGATTCAATGTATAGAACCTTTGTCAAGTTTTTATTTCACCCTCTCCAATTGTCCTCTTGGCCATTGTCACTGGGACTGGAAGTGATGAGAAATCCAAAATGTTAAGATGCCACTGGAGGTGAGGGTGAGGTCATCATTATCAACCAATGAAGACACCTAATTAAAGAACTGTTCGATGGGGTTTCATCCCTCTTTGGAGAGATTTCTCCTCTCTTCCGATTGTGTTTCCAGGATGACAGGAAGTGAAGGGAATCTCCATAATGGGATACAGCAGCAGTAACCATTCCCAACTCCCTACCTCTTAAAAAAAATTTACACCATAAATAGAGGCTATGACACTAGCAACAGACAGGAAAAGCCTCAGTAACTTCAACAGACATCACTACATCACAACATCCTGCGACCTGCTGTGATCTTCTCTATTACTCAGCCAATAAGTGAATACGGCGCAAAACTCTGTGGACAACTTAATTCCCTTTTCTCCACTGAGAAGGTAACAACCAGCAACCACTTACGCAAAGATTGCTCAACAAGTCTGAAAATCGTTTTGTTTAAGAATCAAAGTTTCCAGCATTCAGAAGTGCTTGTTATTGCTAAAGGTTATTCCTACAACATCCAGTCCCTTTCTGAACACAGCAAATAATGTTCATATCCAATGCATGACTTGAAAACATCAAGCCGTAGTTAGCTACCCTGACACTAAGGGCCGAGAATGTCAGTTTGTGTTTGTTCCACTGAAAATTAAGTTATATCTTCATCCAAACTGTTTTTTTCCATTTTAGAAAGTGCTGAAGGGATATTTTGACCACCAGGTTGGTATGTTGTTGTCTGTGTACCCAGACATTTCCTTCATTTCCTATCTGCGGAACACCTCACTAGGACAGGAAGTGAGAGGAAGTATTGTTTGAAATTCTTTATTTATAATACACCAAACACAACAACACAACAGCTAGAATCACATGTAAAGCTTTAGTCTGTGACAGCACAGTACAAGTATTTCTTTATAAATCCTTCGACGCATATAAGTAGCAAAGAGAAATATTGGAAAATTTGAATAGGTTGGTGTTATATAATTTTGAATAAATAAACTGCAATTTGCAGTTGACTTATAAGGAAGGTGAGGTTAAGAAAAGAGAAATCAGAGAGGAAGTTGGGAAAAAGGTTGGAATAAGGGGGAAAACAAGGGGGGACTAAAGATAAAAGTCAACTAGCAAATGGTGGTCAAAGTTGATAGTTTAGCATCCCATGCTTACTAGGTTGGTAAACCCTAACATTGCAGATGTGTTCATTCTTCCTACTGAGGAGTTAAACATTTCTGTGGCATAGCACCTTTGAAAAGCAATGGCTTACGGAGGGATGGGTGGGTTGTTTCAATAAGGCTGAGATGCTAGCCCTAGTCAAGTATGGGAGGAATTGTCTCCATAAACCAGTCTCTGACCTTTTATGGAGGGAGAAATGGATGGGTTGTGTCTAAAAAGCTGGGATGCAGGCCCTGGTCATGTATGAATTGAGATAAGGATTAATTCCCTGTATGGTTACTATGATGGGATGCAAGCCTTGCCATGTATGGATGGGATTTTGGGTTGTTTCCATCAGGTTGGGATGAGGGCCTTTGCTATGCATGGAGGGAGGGTTGTTTAGATTGTCTTCATAAGGTTAGAATGCAGGCCTTGGTCATTTATGAAGGAACAGATGGGATGTATTTGTAGGCCAGGATGCAACACCTGGCCATATATGGAGTAAGACATGGGTTGTTTTTGTAAGGCTGGGCTATTGAGGAAGACATGAGTTGATTCTGTTAGGCCAGGTGTAGGCCCTGGCCACGTATGGAGGATGGGGATGGATGGGTTATGTCCAAAAGGCTGGGATGCAGTCCTTGGTCATGTATGAAATGAGAGAAGAGTTGATTCCCTGTACGGTTACTATGTATGAGGTTGTGTGAGTTGTTTTTGGGATGCAGGCCCTGGCTATGTTTGGAGGGAGACATGGGTTCTTTCAATGAGACCTGGATGCAGACCCTAGCCATACATGAAGGGAGGGATTGATTTTTTCCATAAACAACATTCCAGCCTTTGCTACTGGAGAGAGATATGGATTGTGTCTGTAAGTCTTGGATGCAGGTCCTTAGCATATATGTACAGAGGGGTGGGTTGTTTCTATAAGACCAAGATATAGGCCTTTGCTATGTATGGTGGGAGGAATGGCTTATCTCTTAAGGCTTGAATACAGGCCTGGCCTCATACAATAGAGAACTATCTTTAACTATTTTAATAGCATTTATGGATAAGTAGTTGAAATGAAATAAGTAATGGACCAGATTTTCACTGACAGAGGAATTAACTTTTTCCATTCTATCCAAAACAACTCTTTAAAAAAGTTTTGTCTAGGTTAAAAAAATATACATTCAGTGTATGTTAATTGAAACCAGTAGCTATTTCCATAGCTGCATTTTTTTCCTGTGGCTGTTATATGAAATTATTGCAAATATATCAATTAAGATGCATTTTTCTAAAGTTTCCATCCTAACAGAGCTTAGACCAAGGGACAACCTGTTTTCCAGCTATATGACTTCTTAGTCCGCCAATGATTGATGTAATCGTTGTTTAGGTATTTTAAGCTACATTCTTTGGGAATAATAGACTCATCGGCAAGTGTTCTGAGAAAGGAAAGAATTCTGAGAAAGGAAATAAGTGCTGATGACTGTATGCCATGAAGACACACATCAGATACATCTGTAACTGGGATTTTGGCAATGTTGTGTTTCAGAACAACTTTCTGTACCTTTCAGCACAAAGGCCCCTGGCTCTGGACATAAGTGAGTATGATGCATTCAAGGCTTACTGTTGGGTTTAGGTTTGGAGGTTGGGTTTAAGTGCTAAAGGATAGATTGCCTGTTAGGAGGAGAGGGATTAAGCTAAGGGTTGAGGTTGTGAAGTATTAAGCATCAAGGTGCTTTGGTCTAGGACAAGAACATTTCCAGTTTTGAGACACTTGAGGCAATATTAATATTTTCAATTCTTAGCATCGAGAAGTAGTGACGCAGTGGTACAAATGATAACACTGGACTCCTAGCATCAAAATATAATGTACCAATAAATGCATAAATCTCACAAATAGCTACTTTTATGCATCAAAAATCACCTATGTAGTATTGTGGGCATTAAAGAAAAGAATATAGAATAAATTAGGACCAGAAGAACTTTTCATATTTAAAATTCATGAAATACAAACGCGCATACTCACATGTTCTCCCTTGTTACCCTTGGCTCCTTTCTGACCATGTTCTCCAACTTCACCCTTGAAAACACAAAGTTTCACACTAAACATATAATACAGGAATACTATATGTATGTGATATTATGGTAAACAAACAGAGACCGATATTACACAAGTAATGTTTAAGCTGGAACACTTCCTGCTACATAGAAAGAGAGCAGTTTGAGGAATTATCTATATTTAGACAAGATCAACGACTTTTCATAGAAAACTGTTAAAAGATGAGCGTATTGTATTACATTAAATAAATGGACTTTTGCCTTTTTCAGCCAGACTAACTATGGAACTATGCATTGCTTCTTATACCTATTTTTTTCACATTCAATGAAAGGAGCTACAAAATACAGATTTAGGACACTGGTCTAATTTCTTTTGTTAACCATACACTAGCCGAAAAAATGTTCAAACTTGTTTTCAAATAACAAACGCTCTGCCATAAGAGCAAACAATAATGCCATCATGTAATGACCGAATTTCCAATGATAAATTGTTCAATGGACATAAATTAACTCGTTTTTCATTAGTTTTGTCACATATGCGCAGTATGAAAAGTTTGACTTTTAACAGGAGAGAAACACATTGATCTTTCAATTTATCGTTCGTTCAGCAAAAGTTTTCCAATCTGTTCCTTCAAATTCTTGCCTCTGAAGAGTCAAAAACTATTTTCTATTTGTGCCCATTAACTGGACGAAAAATGAACGAATGAGCCAAATGACATATTTTGCGCCTAGTGTATGGGGATCATTAGTCTAAGTATTTCAAAGAACCACAAAATTCAGCTAAGCTGTGTATATTATTAAATATATCATCAGGCTTTGATTATGCATTTTATTGTCAAAAAGTTATCCATTAACTATCCCTTGTCAGGGTCTTGGAGGATGAGAGCAATCTAGGGAAGCTATAAAAATTCTAAGACACGCGAGGAAGCAAAACTACTTATCAGCAACAGGAGAAAAACACAACCAATAACTGAAGAAAGATGTACACTGTGAATACTGGATCAACCAAAAATTGTTACTTGAAATTAGAGTGTACATGTTGTTATCTGGACCAAACACAGAATACTCAAAAATGAACTGTACCTTGTCACCATCTTCTCCAGAGACTCCAGGAGGCCCAGCCGGTCCAGGAAGACCCACGGGCCCTTGCAAACCATCTCTCCCAGCAGGCCCAATTGGTCCTTTCTCTCCCTGGAAGACCAAAGAAATATTGATGTATGCAAGGTATATACAGTATAAACAGAGCAGTGTCTAAAATCAATGCAAGGATGTGTAATCAGGGGTTTGAACATTCATGACACATGTCAAAACATAGTATACATACCCTAACACAAACTCTGATATGTTTTCCCATTCTATTGTCTAATCAGATTAAGGTATAATTACTAATAGAACTGCAGAAATTATAAATCAGGGAACAAATGCAAAACTTTTGGGTGCTAAGATACTCAGCTTGTGAAATTTTGACAAGAGTTGAAGCGAATCTCTATGCAGCTACATCAAAATATAAGGCATTGGGGTTGATTTATTAAATGCAAATAGGCTGTTCACTTAATATTCTCTTATTTAGTGAATAAGGTGAGGCTCTGCTGACTTCCACCATCCTATCATGTGGACGCAAAAATACTTTTTCTTTTCCTTGCACTTGCTTTGGTATTTTTTGAAAAATTAATTTTTATCACATTAACTAGGCTAAATGAAATTCCCCTCACAAATGAACAGTCTATTCACATTTAGCAAATCAACTCCACTGTGTTTGCAAGAATACATTTTAGATTACATTCTTGGTAAGGCTTTGTTTCAGTGTGAACATAAGAGACTTTCTACAACTTAAAAATTGCCTGATATAGAGATAGTCTGTTGTAGATTAAGCCTTGTGTTCAGATGGATTAGACCATTGATTTCCAAACTGTGGCCCTGGATAAGGATGCAGCCCTTTGCCTGCCTATATCTGGCCCCTGGGGAACTCTTCCTCCCATTGATACAAGGCATTATTACTGCCACTGAGACCAACAATGGGGCCTTATTACTTCCACTGACACTGACAACGGGGCCTTATTACTTCCTCTGACACCAACAAAGAGCCACTATTACTCCCACAGAAACCAGCAATGGGGCATTATGACTCACACTGACACCAACAATGGGGCATTATTACTCCCACAGACACCAGCAATGGGGCATTATGACTCACACTGACACCAACAATGGGACATTATTACTCCCACAGACACCATGGGGCATTATGACTCACACTGACACCAACAATGGGGCATTATTACTCCCACAGACACCAGCAATGGGGCATTATGACTCCCACTGACACCAACAATGGGGCACTATTACTCCCACTAATTATTTTATTACTTGTATAGTACTGTCAGTTTACGCAACACTTTACATGTATATATATTGCACATTCACATCAGTCCCTAACCCTCAAGGAGTGTACAATCTAAAGTCCCTAACTCACATTCATACATACACATACTAGGGACAATTTAGACAGGAGCCAATTCACCTACCAGCATGTGTTTGGAGTGTAGGAGGAAACCGCAGTACCCAGAGGAAACCCACACAGGCACAGGGAGAACATGCAAACTCCAGGCAGGTAGTGCCGTGGTTGGGATTCAAACCAACAACCCTAGTACAGGCGGAAGTGCTAACCATTTAGCCACTGGCTAATTCCAGTGATGGGGCAGTTTCCACCCATTGACACTTTCCTCCCACTGACAGTATCTCCCCCCTTTTCCTGCCTAAAGTCCAAGGGAAAGTAAATCAACCCTTTGTTTAGAAAGTTTGGAGACCCCTGGATTAGACAAGGATTTCCCCATGGTAAGCAGGGCCAGATTTCTGCACAGGCCACAAAGGTTAAAATCAAGGGTGGTAGAGCTCCCAGTAACTTCATAATAAAAGTATTTGTAGCTGTCCCTGTCCTGTGCATTTTCATTGGTGACTTAGCAAAGTTAGGGCCAGCACACCTAGAGATGAACTGCTAGCTATAGATCAGTACAGGAGACCAACACAGAGTAGGAGAACTGTCTCTATTAGTCACTCCACCCTCCAAGGGTCAAGAGAGGCCGTATCATTTTGCCTGCACAGTTGGTTCAGGGGCAATAAGTGTATATTTGGGTTAATGGTAAGCATTTTAACAGGAAAACTGACACTTTGTAAATAGTGAAGCTGATCTTTCAAAATCCCATTTCCAATCCAGTGTATTTACACACAAAAAAAAACACATATATATATATATAGTGCATTGTTCTTAGATGTGGATGCATTGGGTTCCTTTTCTTCATTATTTTGATATCTGATAATCCTGTCTGTAATACACCTCCTAGCCTCAGGTTACAATACTACACGATATACATATATACATATATATATATATATATATATATATATATATATATATATATATCTCACGCTACACATGATATAAACTATGGAGGAACAGCATTGTCATCCTAGGCAGCTCACTCCCATTATGGACTACAAAACGCTCCCCTCTCCTCATCACCATATTATAGGAGGAGTTTCTCTGTAGTCCACAGAGGAGAACTGGGTAGGGCTGCCAACACTGTCTGAGATTTCAGTGCAGCACAGGTAAAGTGCACAGAAAGTTAGAAACTCGACCAATCAACAGGTAATTTTTAGTATTTTAAATGAGATAAAACATGGGTAAATGTACAGTATATTATTTTAGAGATGTACTGAATTTTTTTTTTATTTTGCATGACATATGTATTAAGTCAACTTGGTCAAAAATGAAAAAAGCAGCCTATACAATGTACTAATTTTAGTTGTAATTTATGCTATTAAAGGATCATCATTTCTTGTGATAACACTGCATGATTTTTGAAATTTGCACCCCTAACCCCAAGTGCCAACGTGGAAGTTGAGCAGCAACTGACTACTGGATTGGTCAGTGTGAACATCAATAAATGAATGGATAATGTCCGTGAGGTACTTAGGGTCTCAAGGGCTCTGTGTAATGATATGCAGGGATCTGTGAGTAAAAGAAAGCACCTTTTCTGAAAAGTTTTAGGCCTCAGATAATTGAAACTTTTGGAAGAGTTGCTACCAGTGTTTTATTAGCAGTAACATAGAGATGAGCATGTGACAGGGTGGCAACCAAAGATCACAATTGGGAGACAATCCCATAACAAATTCTGAACAAGGACCTTCATGGCATATCCCACCTTGATTACTGCAACCCCCTCCTCACTGGCCTACTTTTACACAGGTTACCCCCCCCCCTTCAGTCTATAATGAATGCTGCTGCTAGAGGTATACACCTTATCAACCAATTATGCCACCAAATTAGTGTGTGCTGTCAATTGCCTCCAGCATTGTTCCTGTTTCTTCTTGCAGGAGATAACCATTTTGCTAAAAACCCAGAGCCCCTGAGCAGCAGTAAATCTTTAGGCAGTAGATCAGCCTCTACAGATTTGGCACAGTGCCTAAAAATAGAGAGCAACTGAGCATGTGCAAAGCAGAGCAAGACAGAGTATTACTCAATTTTAAACAATATGGACTCTTACTTGTAATGTTGTACATAGCTATACCTGCAAAAGGGGCCAGCCTGAAGTGATCTAGCAGTACTTAATTATCTGATCAAAGTTCCACTTTAATTTTCTCTCCTTCATTGTTCTATTGAATCCTATTTCTCATCTGTATTTCTCAGTTCGCACTAAACACATTCTAACTTTGTATATTATTTTTAATTGCTTCCTGTGATCACCTTTTTCAAGTCAGCCATAGACTGGATGATTTTGGAAAGCATCTGCATAACCTGACAGCAGATCAATCTTTTGTGTCCACAATGTAATACATAGTAGATGTGCCCACATAAATATTTATGTTTGTACCCTGATCCCAGAATGACCTTTGGCATTCAACTATCTTCAACTAAACTCAAAAGACCTATTCAGGTAATAAATTTCCCCTCTCCCCACTTGGATCAATCTCCCAGACAGATGCCTACTCAGTTCTGAAGATGATTAGAGACATAAATATTACTGTTCAATCTTGCCAAAATCTGACCTAGGAGCATATTTAACATATGTGGTCAGTTATAGTGCTTGAGATGGTCATGGTATAATATGGATCTTATCCAGGAAATATTTTTAGGCTTTTTTTCACACCCAGATTTATACATACTGGTACACCCTTTTCTCCGGAAGCACCTGCTGGTCCCTGAGGGCCTGGTCGTCCAGGAGGCCCAATTGGTCCACCTTGGCCTGGTCCACCTCTTTCTCCTGGAGATCCCTGCAAGACAAAATCCACTCTGTGTTACGTCATTTGTGCAGAACATACACTAAACTATATTTTGCAGCATAGCCAATAACAATTAGTCGGTATATATGGATTCAGAAAATAAAATGCTAAAGAATAATACTTACTGCAGGGCCAGGTGGACCTGCTGGACCTTCGTTACCCTTCAGACCTGGACCGCCCTAAATTAAAAAAAAAAGATAACATAATATAATAGGAATAGCTGTAATCATGAATAAAGGGGGATATAGAGAAGAGACATAGATTAGACTACTAGATGTTATAAGTGTCAGTCATATGCATGATGTCTGAAAAATGGCTTAGAGGGTAGTACTACAGCCTTGCAGTGCTGGGGTCTTTTGTGCATTCATGGGTTTCCTCCAGGTTCCTTCCACACTGGTAGGTTAATTGGCTCCTGTCTAAACTGGCTATACTATGTGTGTGTGTATGCATGTGGGATAGGGACCTTAGATTGTAAGCTTCTTTAGCGCAGTTAGATCCTCACAAAGTTAGGCAAGGGAGTGATGCTCACCATAAAAGTTATCTTCTATTACAAGGGTTCTTCAAAAAGTTTACGCACTTTTAAACTCTATTTTAAATATATATATCTATATACTGTATAGATATATATTTATATTTATGTATAGAAGCATGGAAACTTTTTGAAGACCCCTCTTAAAATTTTGGACTAACAGAGCACCAACGTGTTTCACTCCTCACAGCAGCATAGTTATAGGGTGAGGGACTGACATGACCATACAGTATATAAAAGTGCTGTATAAATGCCTATAATAAATATCTAATGGTCACTGTGCTGTGAGGTTGGAAGTTATAAACAAATGATAATATGAGTCTAATAGTAACTGTGTGGTATACACTTTTCTTACAGATCTGGTTGAACTACATGGTTGGTAGTATGACATGTATTTGCACATTCCAGATCATATGCAGATCAAATATTTACAGAAAATGTCTCCAAGTCATCTAAATAAAGAAATACCCAAACAGCTAAATATCTTAAAGCTGCACAGGCAATCTGCCTTCATGTGTCTTTTGGTAATACTAATAGTATCTGTGTGCAATGGTTTATACAAGTGATCCAAGTGTCTGGTGGCCATCCTATATGAATTATGAAATTGAAGCTAAAGGGACCCTAAAGGCTTAAAGTTTTTTACCCTAATGCATTCTCTGCATTAAGCAATAAGGTAAAAACCTTCTGTGCCACAGGATCTCCCCCTTATACTTACCTGAACCTGATCTCGATCCAACGCTATGGCTGAGAACAGTGGTTCTCTCCGCTCTCTTCCTCCATGCAGGGCAGGCTGATAGCAGTGGAAGCCATTGGCTCCTGCTGCTATCAATCAAATCCTGTGACGGGGGGGAAGGGGCAAGTCCAAACCACACTGTCTGTGTCTATAGACTCAGGCAGAGCAGCTTGGGATCAAGCCAACAAGCGTGCTCCCTTAGGAAGTGGCTTCCTATTGAGGCACTTGCCGAAGAGTTGCAGCCAACAGCTCTGGCTAGGGACCCTAGAAGAGGAAGATCAAAGCTGCTCTGTACAAAATCATTGCACAGAGCATGTAACTATAACATGTTTTTTATTTTAAAAAAAAGTTTTACAATCACTTGAATCCCAGACATGCAGCTTAACACACAATCTTCTTTTTCTTTCTCTTCTCCTTTTAGTTACTTGTGTTTGATAATGAGTGTACTTGCAATCCAATATTGTATATTTATACTGAAAAAATATTAAAATTATATTATATTAAAAAATATATGTTAACTGTCTTACCTGTCAAATGGTTTACAATTCTGTTTAGTTAGTCTTGTGTTCCAGAATCCCGTGCACGCAGGTCTTGGACCTCCCATGCAGCTAGGCAGTGAAGCACAGTCTAAGACACGCCCAAATCTTGCTGATTGGACAGCAAAAAAGCAGCAGTGCACTGATGAGTCACACTCAAGGGCGGACTGACAACTCATGGGGCCCCCGGGCAATAGGGGATCATGGGGCCCCTGTGTCCTTGCCCAAACTCAAAAAAGCCTATGTAAAAGGTACCAGGGGCATCTCATGGGGCCCCCTACTGACCCCGGGCCCTCGGGCAGTCCCCCAGTTTCCAAATGGTCAGTCCGCCCCGGTCACACTTTTTCCCTTCGTCTGCTCCTCCTGTCAGCAAACTGCCAGTGGTAGACTGACAACACTATGCATTTTAGCACAGCATTACTGTCTACAACTGCTAACCATCCCTCTCCCAGTCTGAGACCTACTTTCCAGGGGATTGCAGGAAATAGAATAAAAGACAAATTCAGCTACTTGTTCAAAAGGCACTTTAAAAAAGTCTTCAGCATGCTTTTTGTGTTATGCTGTGTAACTAAAGTGATTGTATAATGAACAACTAATAATATGAAGATCTTTTGAGAATCTGTAGTGCTGCATTACTCACTGGTGTACCAGGCAGGCCTCTTTCTCCGGGGAAACCTCTTAAACCAGCAGGTCCATCTTTACCAAGAACACCAACAGTTCCAGGGTCTCCCTGTTTAAAGTAAGAGAATGATCAGTGAGGGAATAGGAAGAGACAAGATTACCAGAAAATTTAGACTAAAGATTGTGTCAGAATAAAAAAAGGATGATGAGCAAAGATGAAATTAGGCCAATGAAAGCCATCAACTAAAAGTATACTAATGACGGCCAAATGGGTTTTATGCTTCTACTGCAGTGCTGGGCTACCAAAAATCTAAATATCAATCAGCCAGCAAGACAAAACTAAACTGTCTTTCTAGTTTACAGAAAGTCCTCAATTTTAGGGACTGGGCTCTTGCAGCTAAACATTTTCATGGTATACAGCTATCGGTGGGGCTCACATGCTACAAAAAGCTTAAATATCTCACAGAAAGGGTCTCCAGACTGTGAACTGTACTGATGCACAGTTCCCTGTGGCATTTAGTAGGCCATACATTGTTTAGAGAAAATAAAAAGTACCAAAAAATTGCTTACCTTGGTACCTTCTTTTCCAGACGGGCCTGCCAATCCTTGCTCTCCTGGAGGTCCAGGTGGGCCAGGATGTCCTCTCTCTCCCATAGGACCAGATTCTCCTGCAGAACCCTAATTCAGAATAAATATGCCCTATATATCAATATTAATATTATAACAATCAAATAATAATTCTGGCAGATCATGCAACTAGATTAGAATGTAACAATACTGTATATATATATATGGAGAGTTATGGCTATAGACAATGATTTCTATAAAAAAAACTTCTCTGCAGGTTCTTACCTGAGGTCCCACAACGCCTGGAGGTCCAGTGGTTCCAATTTTACCTTGGAAACCCTGCAAAATTAAATACATTATGTGATATTTTCCAAGGAGTTACATTAGGCTAACATTTACAATAGCTGAACAAAGATAATGCAGTTATCTCTTATACTCTGTTCAACTCACCACTTCTCCTCTCTGTCCAGGATGTCCAGGGATTCCATCTTTACCAGGAGGACCCTGCCAAAGAAAGGATTATTGTCTATGTAGCATTGTTGTCTAGTGAATTGTTTATTTAAAGATCAATGCTTCCAAAAGATAATATTGGTAAACTATACAATTGCATATGTTATGCAGTCCCCTGCCATCAGAATGACTACTATCTCTGTTTTTCGTGAAATCCCTTGCACTGCTGTGTAATGTTCCTGATAGTATGACCCTTTGGTTCAACTTCCTGCATTTCGGTGCAGTTACAACCACCAACAGTGGTCATAACAACTGGAGGAGCATTGGACATGTGGATCTGACCACCAAAAAAACTTTGTTTTAAAATATCTTTTTATTAACAGGCATGCTGTGGATACCTGTGACATGTATCTTTATGTCCCTGGTGTCAGCGTGTATTGTTGGCATAAACACCGATCATCCAAAAATATTTAACCAGCCCAGTTTCTTGTTCTTTCGCTGACGGTTTCTGCTGATATTCTCAACCAAAAGATAGGATGGGTACCTTTTCTTGATGCCCAGTTTATAATTTGTTATTAGCAACATAGAAATTAATATAAGTAGTAGCAAAGAACTATGGTGATATAATGGTAAAGAATGCATATGATTAAACTAAATTTAGCTGTACAATAGCACTTTGGTTGCTCATCTAAGAGGGACACAGGTCAGGAGTGGAAGAAAACAAACTTCCATTGCTGGCTTGTTTATGAGTGTACAAGCTTCAGGTTTGTCATCCCTATTTTTTTTTTTACAGCTTAGTGAGTTACTAAACTGGAACAAACTAAGTTGGAACAAATATACAGGTAGGGAATTCTAACTTCTCTGGCAACATAATTGTTCTGAGTAGTAAATCAATAGGAAATGAAGCAACGAAGGGTAAAAGCTCAAAACATCCATCTTAAAGGTCCTATTCACCCCAGGTGACATGGGACTGCTTTGGGTGGCTATTCCAGTGCAGTCCCACAGCAAGCCAATACAAAATGCCTTGTCTCCCATGTGACTGGTTCACACCACCACATTGCTGTGGTTTGTGGGTGGTGAGCGCTGAAAAAAGTACAGAAGACTGTACTTTTTTCCAAAGCAGTACAGTGGGAAGCAATTCATTGTGATGTTATAATAAAGTTTTTTAAAAACAAAAAAGGTGAACAGTGCCATGCACTCACTCGGCATATCTGCACTGCAGTTATTCATCTGTATCACGCCACACCAGCTGCTGACTTGTAACACTTGTGAGTAGACTCTTTAAACATGTCCACAGTAACACCTCCTATACTTTTTTCACTACTGGCTTCATTTAAAGTTTGCATTTACAGCAGTGAACAAAGCAAATTCATCCAGAAATGGGCAGCCAAGCAGATGTACTTAGTAGATCTTTATAACTCACTGTCTGCTCATACTCTATGTAGTTGTCCATCAAAGCATTGGACAAGCACCACAAATGACCCAAGCCATTTGACGCACATGTCTGGGCAGTAGCTAAAATAAATGCTGCCTTTCTCTCCACCTGCTGGGGGTTCCCTTCTTTATTTTTTACTTTGTCCTAGTATTGTTCCTTTTCTTAGCCCCTGAGAGGTTTTTCACAGAGGGGGCTGGGGAGATATGCCACAAATCAGTAAAGGGGATAGATTTATGCAGAGAGAGGTTCTTGGCGGGCATAGCTTATTTATATGCACTGTAACCATCTCCTACCCCTAGTTTTTGTCTAAGGATGTTATTGCTCCTTCTCTAGAACTGCAGAGGAGGTGGTGAGGGTATTGGTTACTTTGCTCATAGACAGCAGGCAGTAGTGGCTGGTGTCTACCACTGGATAGAGCGGCATTTTTATATGTGCCGTGTTACACGGGGGCATCTATCAATGGAATTAAGCATGTTTGGTGCCAGGTAAATCTAAGTAATCATGTCTAATGTTTTGTTTCTGGAGTGCAGCCTAATCTTGATATGTAACTATACCACTAAAGAGACAAAAACACCAAAGACCATATCAATAAACTCACGGGAGGTCCTTTTGGTCCTGGGAACCCATTAGAACCTTGTGGTCCAGGAAGACCCTACCAAGATTTAAAAAGAAAATTTTATTATCATAAGTCAGAAATGTAAAAATATCATCAATTAAATGTTATGTACATCACAAAAGAATATAATTGTTGACCTAAAAAAAGGTGGTAAGTTATAGAAGGAAAGATTATGAAGAGTATGCAACAGACAAATATGGAAGGTGGACGTTAAAAGCAAAGCTGAAAACAGAATAATCTGTGTGTAGTTATGTCAAATTTGTTAAAGAATGGACAGTATTAAGATATGGGTCTTGCCTGAGGGAACCTTCAAAATGGACTTACTCTCTCTCCGGGTGGCCCTGATGGACCATCACCACCAGATGTACCCTAATAGAGCAGACAAGAAATGAATACAATTAAAATGTGCTCTGGAAAGATGGATAGTTCAGATGCTGTGAGAAGTAAATTCTAAACAATTCTCATAATAAACTTTCTTTCATTTACAAACTGTTCATATTTATGGTAAAAAGACATCATGCATACAAACACACAAACAAAATTTTCATAGAAGCCATTCTCTCTATATTGTAATGGGCCAGATGAAATAAAAAAAAATCCTTATGCTATACATAAATGTGCAATAATACCTACCAACTGAACAATAACTTAGTCTGTAATCATCATTATGAAGAATTAAACTTTAGAATATTCTTGTCTGTTTGTATGGTGAGTCAAACAGTGCATGAGATTTGAAAGCCTAAGTGCAGCCAATAGAAATGTTTCCATAATGAAATTGTTACAGAATTCTCTGGCTGACTGATTTTACAACTTGAAGTAGAGCAAATATAGTAAAAAGTAAGTAGTAAAAGTAAGTCACGTTCAACTGGACTTGTTCCATAATATTGAAGACATTTTGCTACTCATCCAAGCATTACGTATCAGAGCAAGTTAACCAAGGAGCTTTGTCCTCTGCTAAGTAGGACTATATTGTCCATGGATTGTCACAAATCTTAACAGGCATACTACAAGGGGCTATGGAGATAAATAAAAGGGAAATTGTCAGGAGCATGTAGCGCTCCTGTTTCAAAGCAACTGTTGGACACATTCCAGCCTCTTGGTTATGGCTGAGCTGCATTATCCCTGTCTGGCTGCCCACCAGCAGGGTGATTGCTAGACGCAGCCTCTGGGTGATGTTCAAACCTATTTTAAACTAGCCAAGCCCTCAGTGTCATGCTTCTGATTGTTTGCAACACATGCTTCAAGCTCCCTGCCTTGTACCCATGCCTTGACCTTCAGCTTTGCCCAAGCCCTGCTCTGCCAGCTAGTTTGGATTTCCTTGTTCACAACCTCAGATCGCATTTTGACTACGCTCAGAACTCAGCCTGGCCTTTTGAGCTTGGATTAGACCCTGCCCCTAACCCAAACTGCCTTTAGACCACTCTACCTATCTTCCAACTGAGAGTACCTGTTCGCTGTGCTTAGTTTGTGCCTGCCCTGGTGTGGTAGCCAAACACTATATAAAACTGTTGATAAGACCTGAGGGTAACAGAATACCAGTAGGCCCCCTTACCTTATGGGAAAGAGGTCTGCTATAGGCGTGACAGTAATACTAAATCCTGATATGAACATCTATACAGTAAATAATTTATGTGTGCAGAAATATCATAGCACATGAACCACACAAAATACACAATAAATAGCCTTAATAATATTACAACAATGTAAAGAACAACCTTTGGTCCAGATTTTCCTGTGGCTCCTCTTGGTCCTCTCTGTCCCCTGGGTCCCTAAGAAAAACAAGACAAATAAGTGTAAAATTGTATTCATTTACAGGTATGTCCCCATCAGGCAATGTTCAGAGTAATTCAGCATAGCATCCTACTGAATCTAATGAAGGACTGTGTTCCTGCCCCCAGAAAAGCTATTAGCTTAGATCCACTCATGGTTGTTTTGTAGGATTGTTGGAACACTTGTAAATTGTCCAAAGTAGTCAGAACTCAACAAGATATGTAGCTTTATTTTGACATTTTCTGACTAACAGGAGCCCAGGTCATTGCACTGAGTGATGAGTTGCTTCTTTGATCCTGTCATAATACTTGGTTTACCATGCCCAACCATAAGCACAAAATGGGAGTAGTTTCAGGTAAATAAAGCTATGTTTAAAAAGATGAATATTGAATTTTTTGAGCATTGTGGATTTAAGTTTGTGCAAATTTAAGATTTTATAAAATGGAGAGAAATGTTCAAGTTAATAGAGAATAAATTTAACATTTAACTAAGTAATTTCTTGGCCCTGGTGAAAGGTGCCTCTTACAGAGAACCAATCGCAATTGGACTTTCATAAAATGTTGAATATTAAGTCTTAAACTATTACATTTGCAGAGTTACTTATGAAATATTTGTATCTGCCCCTACATTTGGCTTTCCATCCTTTGTCTGAGCATGATGCTTTAGCTTGAGTTTCAGATATCAGAGGAGTCAGAGGTCTCCTGAAGTGTGAACAGTCGCTACTGTCTCAGATATCATGCACTTGACAGACCTGATGCACTTGTCTTCCAGGCTATAAGAGTGCAATACAATATCAATTAGCAAATCCATGTTGTTAGGAGAAAAAAAACTACAAAGCTCTGTTTTGTTGCCCCATTATGCACACATAGGTCTACGGAGATAGTGACTGAGGTCAAGAAAGTAGCAGGGTATCATCTGTTTGATTTCAGATTAGCACAGATCCCTGACACACAAGTTAAAGTGTGATGCACAGGATCTCTCAAAGCAGTTGGTGCTCCCAGTCAGTTCTCAGACAATGTAGAGGGAATAATTCTTCTATCAGGTCTTCCAGAAGTGGTGACCAAAGGTCATCTCTTTGCCCAAGTAGGTTACAAGATGTGCAAGAGGTAAAGTGCCTAAAACAGAACTTATATAGTCCAGATTAAAATTTTTTCTAGCTTGTGTAGGAGACCGTGCTTGGCTGACTGGATTGGTCACTGGACATGGGTATTTGTTTTGGGCAAAAAGGAAGAAATCCCTTCCAGTGGATTGTGCCCAATGATGGATAGTGACGATGGCCCTGTTAAGGGTTGGGCAGCTACCTTTTCTGTGTGATTTTGTGGTCGTTTCAGCACTTGGCAAGCTTGTAGACTTGAAAGCCAAGTGCGCCAAGTGTCCGTAGTATGGTTCATACGAGTATATTTTTATTGAGAAGTAGCAACATGTACATTAGGGCCAACGTGTTTCAGGGGAGATCTCAGAAAACAGGATGGCAGGATGCTGGTTATAGTTGCAGATGCAAAACATGTACATTTTGTTGCTTCTCAATAAATGCATATGAACCATACTTTAGTATATTTCTCTGGACACCGGCTGCTCCTTGCTTCTCATCCAAGATTCAATTTTATATCATACAAAAATAAGAATTCAGGTTTAGGAAGAATATATATAAAATATAAATATAGATCAAAAAAAGGTTTGCAATATACAAGTTGCATGTAGATTGGATTACAAAAAAAACAGTTAATAGAATTAAAAATGACTAAAAATCAAGTATATATAAAAAGGCTGTAGACAGAACACAGTTTTTAAAAAGATGGGCATATGAAATGAGTCATGTTAAAAAATGGCTGCAAAAATTAAGCTGCTGACTCTTGGGCCCCTTGCTCAGCGGGGATCTGTCTGCTAATGCCCGCTGAACAGGTGGATGGCTGGTCCATGTGCGCTCTACCTGTCCATTAACACCTGACTGCCATCTGATCTGATCCCCATCTGTCTGTTTTTAGCAGATCAAATCGAATCAGATTGGATGTAGGAAGGTGTAAATGGACACATGTGCTTCATAGAGGAGAATAGAAGGTCTGATCAGGTCCACCTGAAAAACTGACAGATGGACTGGATCGAACCGTAAGGGTGAAAGGGGCCCTAATAAGCAGACACTCACTAGTCCAGGAGTCCACCACTGTCTTCACTCACGCCAGTTCTATGCCAGTCTTCAGATCCCGGCATTGCCATCTTGGCTGTGGAAGATGGCTGTGAATTCCTGCTGCTTCACTGCTGGCTCCCCATTGCACATGCATTATATTGTACTGAATTGTTAGATTGGTCCCAAAGCCTCCTGAGACATGTGATGCATGCCAGGGCATTGCAAGTTGGAGGCGGCCCAAACGTCTGTAATTCTCACCTATGTGAGAATTGCAGAAGTGGAAGTAGATAACTGTCAGATAAAGGTACCTGCTTGCCCCTGAAAAATCTACCAAATATTTATACAAGCTGACCTCAATGCTCTGTGTAATTGGGCGACTATGTGGCAAATGAGGTTTAATGTTGATAAATGTAAGGTTCTGCACTTGGGGGCTAGGAATATGCATGCATCATACATTCTAGGGGTGGTATAACTGAAGGAATCAATGGCGGAGAAGGATCTGGGAGTTCTGGTAGATCACAAGCTTAATAATGGCATGCAATGCCAAGCTGCGGTTTCTAAAGTGAGCAAAATCCTCTTTTGTATTAAAAGAGGTATAGATTCCAGAGAGAAAGATATCATTCCCCCCCCGTACAAATCATTAGTAAGACCTCATCTGGAAATTGCAGTTCAAATTTGGGCACCAATTCACAAAAAGAACATTGGGGAACTGGAGAAAGTACAGAGAAGGGCAACCAAACTGAAATAAGGCATGGAGGAGCTCAGCTATGAGGAAAGATTAGAGGAACTGAATTTATTCTCTTCTGAGAAGAGGAGATCAAGGGGGGATATGATCTCCATGTATAATACATAAGGGGGGATATGATCTTCATGTATAATACATAAGGGGGACATGGTCACCATGTATAATACATAAGGGGGGATATGATCTTCATGTATAATACATAAGGGGGACATGATCTCCATGTATAATACATAAGGGGGGATATGATGATCTTCATGTATAATACATAAGGGGGGATATGATCTCCATGTACAATACATAAGGGGGGATATGATCTCCGTGTATAATACATAAGGGGGGGATATGATCTCCATGTATAATACATAAGGGGGGATATGATCTCCGTGTATAATACATAAGGGGGATATGATCTCCATGTATAATACATAAGGGGGGATATGATCTCCATGTATAATACATAAGGGGGGGATATGATCTCCATGTATAATACATAAGGGGGGGTATGATCTCCATGTATAATACATAAGGGGGGATATGATCTCCATGTATAATACATAAGGGGGATATGATCTCCATGTATAATACATAAGGGGGGATATGATCTCCATGTATAATACATAAGGGGGGGATATGATCTCCATGTATAATATAATACATAAGGGGGATATGATCTCCATGTATAATACATAAGGGGGGATATGATCTCCATGTATAATACATAAGGGGGGATATGATCTCCATGTATAATACATAAGGGGGGATATGATCTCCATGTATAATACATAAGGGGGATATGATCTCCATGTATAATACATAAGGGGGGATATGATCTCCATGTATAATACATAAGGGGGATATGATCTCCATGTATAATACATAAGGGGGGATATGATCTCCATGTATAATACATAAGGGGGGATATGATCTCCATGTATAATACATAAGGGGGGATATGATCTCCATGTATAATACATAAGGGGGATATGATCAATATGTATAAATACATCAGTGGTTCATATAGTGAACTCGGTGTAGAGTTATTCACCCTGAGGTCATCACAGAGGACAAGGGGGCACTCTTTACGTCTGGAGGAAAAGAAATTTAATCTCCAAACATGGAAAGGTTTCTTCAAAGTAAAAGCTGTGAAAATGTGGAATACACTCCCTCAAGAATTGAAGTTCTGGCCAGCTCAATGGATTGCTTTAAAAAAGTCCTGGATTCTTTCTTAGATACACAGACTATGACTGGATACTAACATTTGTAGGTAAAGTTGATCCAGGGAATATCCGATTGCCTCTCGGGGGATCAGGGAGGAATTTTTTCCCCTGCAGGAGCAAATTGGATCATGCTTTGCTGTTTTTTTTTTTTTGCCTTCCTCTGGATCAACTGTGGGTGTAGAATTATAACTTTTTTTTATTTTTTTTATGATTGAACTGGATGGAACTTTTCTCTTTTTTCAGCCAGACTAACTATGTAACTATGTAACCTCTGACACTATGCAACTATGTAGAGAAGGGGAGGCAGATTAGTGGCACTTTTACTTTTAAATAAAGATCTGCTTTCAGTTATACTGTAGGGAAAATAAACATCTTTTATAAGTAGGCTTGCAAAATTATAATTTAAGACTGAATATTTATATTCTTAAATACAGTTAATATAGGCTGGTTCTCTTTAAGGTAAACTACACCCCGGATAAAAAAAAATATTGTTATCAGATTATGTGCACCTGAGTTTGAAAGCATCAGAACTAGCTACCAATATAATTAATTTTTTCTATAGTATAGAACTAATAGTAACAATTGATAAATATGGATATATATTTCAAACCTTCAGCAGATAAGGCAAATGTTACTTACCGAAGGGCCCCTCTCTCCTCTTGGACCTGGTTTTCCAGACAAACCCTAAGAGACAAAAGGATCAGAAACTGACTCATCAAATGACGCAACTTAGCAGTAATCATTGTGATCATTACAGATAGTTGCAACACTGCTGCAATCCAACATGACACAGAAACACACAACAAACACTGCATTACAATGTAAAATAATACCATACATTACATACACTGTATATAACGTATATAAATAAAGTCAGCCCTGAATTTATGTTAGCAAAGACAATTAAAGTGAACCTGTCATCAAATGATGCAACTTAGCAGTAATCAGTGTGATCATTACACATAGTTGCAACACTGCTGCAATCCAACACTGGCCAGCAACACATGACAAATACTGCAATGTAGAATATAACTATGTATAGTCAACTCTCCCAGAGTCAATTAAAGGGAACCTGACTGGCAAAGATTAAATTCTTGACAATATAAAACATCTATTACCTTTTATTCTTTTTTAGGTAGGTTTTTTTTTGTTGTGTTTTTAGGTTATTTGCAGACATGAGGTGGCAAATACCAAATCTAATAATGTTATGTACATGGTGATTTGGTTGCTGGCAGGGACATATCTAATGACCAGGTTGGAAATCCTGTCGCATTTTATTGCTATCCACCAATGAGAAAAGTGGCCCGCATCATCTGCCAGCAGCAATAATCTCTTATGCTACCACTATTTACGTGGGCAGGAAAGTTCTTCCAGTAAAATCACTATTAGCCACGGACCTGCCGTTGGCTATTTCCACAACCTAAGGGTGATTGGATTATTCATGCATGTCTGAAGATTCTTATATAGGCAACCTTACTTGTTCCTCTTTCTCAGTGCAAGTTAATGGGCCAAGTCTGAATCAGTGGGGGTGATCTACTAAAGGAGTGGAGCATGTTCACTTTACAAAGTATTTTTCACTTTGAAAAGGAATGTTCACTAAGTTTAGTGAATGTGGAGTATTGGAAAGAATCATGTGCCAGGAACTTAAAAAAAATAAATAGGGGATAAATAATCCCTAAATAAAGAATTTTTTTTTCTGTATATGTAATAAACCAATATAAAGATGGAACAGATGCCTGAATTTCTAAATGTTGCAGCAAAAATAACTAAAAACTACAATAATAACTGGGCAGCACAGTGGTGAAGTGGTTAGCACTTCTGCCTGGCAGTGTTGGGGTTATTGGTTTGGATTCCAACCATAACACTATCTGTCTGGAGTTTGCAGGTTCTCCCTGTGCCTGCGTGGGTTTCCTCCGGGTACTTCAGTTTTCTCCCACACTCCAAAGACATGCTGGTAAGGTAATTGGATCCTGTCTTAATTGGCCCTAGTATGTGTATGTATGAATGCGAGTTAGGGATCTAATATTTTAATCTTGTTGAGGGTAGGGACTGATGTGAATGTACAATACACTGTATATATAAAGTGCTGTGTAAATTGTGGGTGCTTTAAAAATAAATAACCCAAAACAGTCACAATAGACTCCCATTCAAACTTCAAAGTGTCTTTGTGAATAAGCAGCTTGCATCACAGAAAAAGGAAGTCTGTAATACAGTAGAAATGGACAAAGCCCCATGTCAAGAATGCCTTCATTTAAAAAAAAAAAAAAATGTGTTTTAAAAAGTATTCACATGATTAGTAGAATAAATTGCATATAAAATCCACAACCCGGCCAATCCAAGCGCCATCAAGTAAAGCGCTTAATGTTTCTCCAAAGGCTGACACCAGCCAGCAATGTATGATAAGGCATCATCAGAGCTTTGTGGATGGTTGGTTTGGTCTGGTTGTGGGATATATATATACTTTTTTCTGCTAATCTTGTGAATACCTTTTTAAAAAATATTTTTATTTTAAGAAAAACATTTATTATGGCGACAAGTCGCTTTGTCCAATACTTAATTTTCCTACTCTATCCTCCAAAAAAAAAAAACTTACCTATACATACCTCCAATTCTTCCTTTCCTTACTTTACCCTCCAAAAAAACCTAGCTATACATACATTTTAATTCTGCTTAGGTGATGCTGCAACATATCTATTTTAAAAAAATTAAGCTTTTTTTATTAAAAACTATTATAATTTAACCCAATAAACAAGGTTCTTTTTTTTGGTAGGAACACATAAATCAATGTTTGCTTTTTTGAACCACCATGTAAACATATAGTAAATGATAATTTAAGTAACAGCAGCCCTCCGGTATAGATAGGATGGGCTTCACTATATGAATAGATAATGTTTCCCATACCCGTGCTCCCTTCTCTCCGTTGGCCCCTGGGAATCCTGGGAAGCCGAGAGATCCCTGTAACGATATAAGGCAGAGTTGATTATAAACCAGCGCAGAGAGGCAGATGCTGCATACCCGTTAAGTTCTGCTGTAACCCTCCATCACCTTCGTCCCTTGACGTCCTGGGTAGCCTGGCAGACCTGGAACACCCAGCTTGCCCTGGAAGATACAAGAGCCACATGTAATGTTACTGCTCATATTGGTTTGTTCATATTTGAGGGCACACACCAGACACCACCACATCTCACCTTCTCACCCAACAATCCAAGGGGACCTGGGTCACCATGGGGGCCCGATCTTCCCTTAGGACCCTCAGAGCCATCCTCGCCTCTTGAGCCTGGAACTCCACCCTCACCCTAGGTAGAAGAGAAATGAGGAACCATGCTTAATAACACATAAAATGTGGCTAAACTCTGACCTAAAACCACTGTAGAGGCAGCCATGCAGCAGGCTGAACCAATATATTTGCAACCTATGAACTACTTATAAAATTATAGTAATGAGAGTCAGACAAAAATAGAATTCTACTAAGTTGTTTACTTCAGAAATAGTCACATAACTAAGTTAGAATTTTAGTTTACAATCCTTTCTATTTAAGAATCCTATTTATTATAATGTTGCTACATGTGTAATTGTCAAAAACTACGTGGAGATGTTAAATTTTTGTTCCTCTGGTAGGCTCACCAGTTAAAAAGGTTCTTCCCATGATGCAATGCAAGGTTTCATCATAGCTCTGCTATCATGTTAGCTGCCCTTACAATAAAATTAAAGCTGTTTTTAATAATTTAAACAACTGCTTAAAGTAAAAAAAGAGAGTTAGTTAGGCTGGGGTTCTTCTTTACCATTGGGTATAAAATGGCCATCGGTACATTGAATGGACATAATAATAGTAGAAAAAAACAGCAAATCATGAATAAAAAAAGACTTTACAACACCAATAGGCATCTGACACTCAATTCAACAAGTTTGTATATAATGTACCCTACAGGACCCATAAGACGTGGTTCTCAAAAGAATATATCTAACTATAATTGGGCTCCATAGTTTTGGATCGAAGTTTATATACTGGTAACTTATGGCCCCGTACATATGGGAATTTTGTAGTTTGGCTTTTAAATACTAGGAACAGTACGTTCAGCAGGCTTAACATGACATTTAAATAATGTCAGACACCTTCCCTAAGGTCATCTTTTTTCCCTTTGGCACCAGGCTAGGAGTTCTGAATACAAAGATGAGAGTTGGTTGTTGTTTTCAATATGTCATCTGACTTTACCAGGCATTTAACAAACAATAGTTCTGCCGAAGCTTGCTGAATGTCTTCTGAAGTCTACTAAATGCTCTGAAGGCTTCCAAAAATTTACTGGACAATTTTTAAATGTTTTGAAACTGCACTGTAGGAGTATGCAACCTAAAATTTCTAATTTAAATATTGATAGCATCACAAATAAGTCAGTCTGGTGTCCAGAAAAAAAATGCTGGCAGTGCCTGGCAGAGGGCAAGACTAATGTGGAGGGGTGCACCTTCACTTCCTACAGATATTAAGAACTAGTGCATCAACTGACTGCAAATGGGCAAGTCAATAATCATATATATACTTCTTATAAAGCTTATAATTACCCTTCAATAAAAGATTAAGTAACATTTAGACCAGTGTTTCTCAGCCAGGGTTCCTCGGAACCTTAGGGATACTCCTGATGTCTTGATGTTGCTAGGAGTTCCTTGAGCACTCTTGAATTGTTCTCTCTCTTACACTGAACACCAATCAAAGCAAGCAATTTTCCAATAGCCACCAATGCAGGGGGTCACTTCTCTGATGACCACAAATGTTGGAGGATACCACCTTTCTTTACTCTCTGCCTTTCTTTCTGCACATATTATTAATTTTAAAAATATTACTAAGATAATTTAATAGGGGTTGATAAAAAAAAAAATTGTGGTGGCATTACAAATGCTAGGTATGCCACATAACTTTTTTTTAAATTTAAAACTTTCTTCAAATTAATGATTATATTAATGTTCCATGGCCTGTAGGCAACATCCTTTTTTAGGAGGAGTTCCCCAAGAACTTGACATTTATATTGAAGGTTCTTTGGGAGGTAAAAAAGGTTGAGAAAGGCTGACTTGGACTGTAAATGTTAATGGTGGATTAAGCCAATACTCTGAAATTATTTACTGCCATTTCCCATTTGTACCCATTAATACAAACACATAACAGGTCCATTTGATCAAATGACCCCAAAAAAACTATATTACAGGCTACATAAAACTGTTGATTGTTTAAAAACAGTTAAATTTCTGCCAGTTGGTGGAAATCAAAGTCCTATACAAGCTATCATGGTTAATTTTATATTATAGTTTCTTCTGTCCATTTATCACATTGTGACTATGTTTCTTGTATGGACAATATGGAATTAATTTACTAAAAGCTTTTCATTTTGCAAAGGAATTTACCCTTAGCTTAGTAAATGCAGCAAAGCTCTGCTGATTTCCATTATCCAATCATGCGCAAGCAAAATTATTGTTTTTTTCCCCTTGCACATAATTAAGTATTCTTTAAATTTTACCACATTCACTAAGATAAGGGAAAATTCCCCTGAAAAGTGAACAGCATATTTTCCATTAGTAAATAAACCCCTATGTATCCATCTCAATTATCCTCTATTATATCCTTATCCATATCAAGTAGTAAGTAGTTGACTATTTTAGGGTCTTTCTGCAATAATAGCCTTTTTACTTAAAGTTTTGAAAGTATCTATTCACACTTCACAATATATTATTACAACTGTGTAATATTCCTATTACTTTTACTGATACTGACTATTAATATTATGAGATAGCAGTGAGCTTGTTCCCTGCCTTACACTGTCTGATATTGACTATAACCTATGGCATTCAAGTGCAAAGCCCACAGGGCGTCTCTTGATCTTGAAGTACAGACAAACTCCAAGTCACACACCTCCTCAACTGAACTGTTTAGGTCCAGTTTTTAAGTTTTCATGGGGTAGCAGAATATAGTCAAACTTATTTAAAGATGTGTTAACGATGAGTGAGGTTTTCCTTTACACTGTTAATACCACTTTAGGGCACCATAGGCTTCTCTGGGGAAATTATCCTAGTCTAGCAGGGACAATACCACAAAAATATTAGGTTGCACATTTATGTATTATGACTGGTAGTGGTAGATCCATTCACATAAAGCAAACTTGTATTTTACTCACCTTATCACCCTTTACACCCATGTCACCTTTGAATCCAGGGAAACCCTCTTCACCCTGAAAAAAATAAAGCAAATCAGGTTGGAATTACAAAGATTCTTGTCTTTTACAGAAAGGCATTAAAGCTGTTAAAGTGTACCTGTCACAAAAGAGCATTTTGCTCCTCTGCTTATCTCAAAGTAGCACTGAAATGGTGTCCATGACCTCAACAAAGCCCCACACCCTTGGGATTGTGGTCCTTCTAAGCACCACGATTGCTGAGGAGATTTCAGTATTGCATCTCCTAATTATTTACAAGACTTGAAAAGGTAAGGGACAGATTATGAGATTAGGGTGAGTTTGTTTCTTGTCTCATTTTACTAACTGCATTACTGTCACACCTATCCAATTGAAATATCAGTTACAGGATCTGAATGAATATTTATCCTATCAAAAAATTTGAAATTTATGCATAATACCCAATACTGAGTGATATTAGCAGCACCAAGAAAAATCTTCAGGTTACAGAAAAATGGCTGCCTGAGCTATGTTCAGGTAATAGGCACAATTAAAGGGCATTGACTAGGGAATTTTTCCTCTTACCTTCTCTCCTTTGTGTCCTTTAAGGCCCCTGATTCCATCAATTCCCTGCAAATGTAAAAAAGAGATGTGTGGGAGGAAGTAAAGGAAATACTGCACAGAAGGAAACGATTAAAAGATATAAGAACTAGAGAAAACATCTAAGAACGTGGAATCAATCAGGCGTACAAAATGGAAAGATATGAACCGATCTCTGGGTTGAAATACACAACAAAACACAATCATGGCAAAGCAAAAAATACATTTTTCTTAAAAGTACCTTCACACCTCGAGGCCCAGGATAGCCAATAGTACCTTGTGGACCAAGTGGACCCTAAAGGGAAAAAAAAAGAAACCCAATAAAGTTGATTGGTTATAAAAAAAAAACAAAACTTTCAATCAATGCCATGAATGAACACTTTAAATCCTGTGCCAGACTAAGAGTCGTCATGGCTTCTTCTTAATCTCTTTTTGTAAATATGTGTGAACATAATAATAGTGCAAGTCAGACTATGTACATTGGTCGAATTTTGATGGTAATGGATAGATTGGATGATTCATATAATATTTGTAATCATTAATGGATAGTTTGTAATTTAATTTCACTATACCTCAGCTAGAAAAACAATCAATTGGGAAACATTTTAAAACTGCAAACTGCCTAAGCTAGGTATTAGAACCCCTTCAAACTACTCCTTTTTTTTTTTTTTTTTTGCAGCACATCGCAATGCACAGCTTGTGCATTGTGGTGCACTGCAGTATGGGCTTGTTGGAAACTACTGTACTTTTTTGCTAGGGTGTTATTTTAAATGCATTACTGTCAATGGCATATTTACCACAAGGTAAACAAGGCTCTTGCCTAGGGCGACATTTTTCAGGGGGGCAGCACCTCCCCCCAGAAGAAGGGATGAAAGAAGGGACACGCAAGCCATGGGAACCAGGTGGGATCCAAAAGAGGCTGCGGGCTGCTTGATGGTGTATGTAGAGCCTGACTCTTGTTCCCGGGGATGTCCGGAGCTTTGAAGATGAGTGTGTTTCTCTCTATCATCGGGGAGGGGGAGTAGTGGAAGGTTCTCCCGGGTGGAGGGCAGGGTTGTTGTTGGTCAGGCTTTCTCCGTGAAGGGGGGGTGGTGTTGGTCAGTGTCTATGGGGGCAGATGATTTTTGTGTTGCCTAAGGCAGCACAAAACCTAAATACACCACTGAATACTGTGACGCAAAAGCATGAAGCCAGCTTTACAAAAAATATCACTTGAAGTAGGTCCTGTTTCCCTTTGAATAAAGAACAGATCCTACACTTCTTAGCAATAGTTCAATGTGAGCAATAATTTAGCAAATTAGATTGATGGGTTGCAACATAATCATTTCAGAGATTTGTGAAGAGGGAGACCAAGTACGAGACATATTCAACAGGCCATGGCTGTGATGGGTGTCATATAGTTTTCTCCAGTGTGCCATTATTTGAGAAAAATTTTAATAGCAATCCACTTAATAGTTACATAAATTAAAGTTACAATAGCTAAATAAATTAATTATGTTTCACTAGGCTCAATTGAGGGGCTAGAGTCAATCCATGGGATAGACTGTTATTATAATCATTTAGTCCAAGTGTAAAGATCAGATGAATGAAGGGTTTGGGTCCAGGGCAATAAGACTTCATTGGCATGAAGAGTTTCTTCTAAACTTTGCCATGCCCCACTCAATGGGTTAGCTGAGTGCATCACTAGTGGAATCTTTGCAAGTTTAAAACTTGGTAGAATGATGCAAATCTGTTTCGATACAAAACACGATACACTCAATAGTTTTTTAATATCTAAAAAAGGTATACATCATCTAGTAAATGTGACCCATCAGAGAAAACTGATACTTCACAGAAAAGATTAAAAACATTTTAGATGTATGTCCTCAGCTTGCAACTAATATGAGTATTTCCTAGTATGTCTGGAAGTCCAGTTGTTGTTTTGTCTGCATGGTCTTGACTAGAACCCCAAATACAATAATGCTGTGTGACATGACGAGACTCTGCCACTGTGAGAAAATAGGAAAATGTGAGACAGGATTTGCTTTTAGGGTGAATGCGATGTTCCAGACTAATGTTTCTGGGCAGAGAAAGCTGTGGATTTAGCTTTCTCTGGATTCTGCAGCTCTGGATCAGAACATTTAATCCCGTGTCCCGGTTTTGCTAGACACCTGCAATCTGGATTACACAGGTATGAGATGCCGTTATACACTCAGGTTTGAGAATAGCTTAGTACTTCCAGTTTGAAGACTGCTCCCAGTGTGTTTGACGGAAGGTCTCACCTGGGATCAGGGGGGGCCCCAGCCAGAAGCCAAGAGACAGGGCTCAACCCAAAAGTCAGGAAGGATTGCCGTGTGCATCAAAGAGGAGCTCTGTGTTCTGAGGGTCTTTAAGTTGTGTGCATGGAAGAACCTATTGGGTGACCAATGTCAAGAGCCGAGGTACTGCTGAAGAGAGCCTGGTGGCTTGGTATTTTTTACCCATGTATTCTGTGTGCAACCAAAACCCCTGTGTGTGAATTAATTGGTTTGTGAACTTCTTGCTTTATTTTTTAATAAAAGTGGGCTGCCAAGCCTTTAAAAATAGTTCCTGTCTGCTGGGGACTCACTAAAATAACACAACTACCATGAGAGCTAACTACCCCATGTCACAGATGTTTTTTAGGATGCTCACAATATCAGCAAATTATGAACAAAAATACCTGAAAACTTGGCAAATTTGATAATTACAGATCTCCAAAACCCCAAATATTTTAGACCTATAAGCTTCACATTTCTGAGGTAGGCCACAGCATACGTAGGTTAGGCCACGGCTATTGATATTTCATGTTTTAATATGAAGAAAAAAAAAGACTTTTGCTTTGTTGGAAAGGGGAAACACGTTGCAGCTGATCCATTAAACCCAGAGAAAAAGGGGCATAAAACTTGGGTTATTGTGTGTATCAACCAACCAGTATTTTGTTTTACCAGAAGAGCTGTGTCCATCAATGAACGTAAGAGAAAAACCTGTGTGCCTACAATATGCAAGAACTCCTATTTTGTGTTCATTTTCTTCTCCCTAAATAATTACTCTGAATATCATAGATCTTTGGTAATACATCTATTAAACACATTGAGGCCCTGCATCCTGTTCAAATGGAAGTCGGGACATACCCCATCAAGTGGCCAATGGATCAATGCAGTAAATTATATTAGTACTATGGAAGTCTTCACGATTTCCATGCGCCAACAAAGTGAACATTTTCAAAAAAGACATGGTTCTACTGGACTCATTTCCAATATTCCACGGCTGACAATGATCTCTTGGCCTCAGATTCCACCTCGGCAGTGGAATAAGGGGCCACCCATCCACTCCCCTACTCCCATTATCCCTTCCCTCTCTTTCTTTCCCCTTTTCTACTTGTTCCCCTGTTTTGTAGCTTTTTTTTATTAAAAAGTTAAACTTTTTTTTTTTTTTCCGACAAATTAATCAATCTCTGATACCTACCACAGGGCCCTTGGCTATGAGGAACCACTCAATACATATTACTTGATAAGTGAATGATACTGTTAGATTGTGCCCTATTACCTTGGTCAATGACTATGTTTCACTGTGGCCTTGTTAACTGAAAATTGTACTGTGACTGTGTACCAACCAAATGAAAAGAATTTAATACATTAAATAAATGTGTGTGGATTTTTTTTTACTTCATTGACATTGAATCTGGTTTCCTTTGTTTTTCAAATATGTTTCTAGTAAAATATTAAACCAAACTAACCTGGTTTCCCTTAGTGCCTGAATAACCCTCTTTGCCAGGATGACCCTAAGGAAGGAAAACACAGAAATATTAAAAAGCAGGTTATTGCTTATTCTCCTTGCTTTGATCGTTCACCTAATGCCAGTTCTTCAAAAACGCATGGAATTCACTTTACTTTTTCCTGAATACAAATATGATTTAAACTCACTTTTAAAGCACTGTAGTTTTGGTGTGACATCTTTTTTCTCTGGAACCTATAACTAGGTAACACTGAATGTTTGTGAATTTAAAAGTGGGCAATTAAGGGAACAGCCAGCCTCCAAATGCCTCAAACTAATGGCAAAGGACGACTATTATGCTGACCTTTGTCAGAATAAGTATTAGGCAGGGTTATGGTTTGTGTTTGCTTAACATGTTCAATCATCTGAATACCTTATTGTTGGTTGCACTACACAGTTAAATAATATATGAGGCTTATTTTCAGCTGTGCAATTATCCATACAGAGATAATAATTCCACGTGAATTTGATAACATGATGGAATTGAAGGTTTTATAGAGAAGAGAAAGATTCTGTTTGACTCGGTTGATCTGATTTTACAAGCAAAAGAGCAGCAGAGTGAAGAACTTTACACAGTCATAAAAAATCTACATCTGGTTTATTGAGACATTGACATTTTAATGTTATACATGGACATTTTATTGTGAAACATGGACAGTTTAATGTTAAACAGGGCCAACATGTACTTACAGGAGGTCCATCGGAACCTGGAATTCCAGGAAGGCCAGGCTTGCCGCTTGGGCCCTGTAAATAAATATTTATGAGTTAAGTTGTAGATAAGATAAGTGTTCTTATACAGCATGCCACCCTTATAATTTCTTTGCCATCCTCCAAACCTTATCATTCTTACCTGCTCTCCTGGAGGACCCACTGGACCCTGTGGCCCAGAAAGACCCTGTGTTCCTGGGGCTCCTTGCTGTCCAGGGGGGCCTGGCTCACCTTGTGGGCCCTAACACAGAGACAGTTTTCCAGATGAGAACAGGTACAACTACAAAGACATGATATTTACATTGTGTTGAGTTCCTAATTTATATACAGTAGAATAGAACTTACCAGATTTCCCTTTGGTCCCACCTGCCCATCCATACCTCTTACTCCCTGTAGAGACATGAAATAGAATATGAAATAGCTTAGCAGTGTGCTCAGTTTTTTTCATGTAGCATTACATGTATTGAGAATACTCACATTTGGGCCTGGGACACCAGGTGGGCCTTTAGGTCCAAGTAACCCCCGGACTCCCTAAGAAAATATGGAGAGATAAATGTTTACTATATATCACATTGTTCATAAATTGTGATGGGTATGCAACAGTCATTGGATTATATCTATCAGGTGTAAATAGTTCTGCTAATGTTCGGCACAACATATACTGTAGAGGGATTTTGTTCTTGAGGAAAGACTATCCCATTTTTATTCAACAAGCCATGGCAAGGATAAGAGCATTGGTACATGTTTTAAGGATGTGTGATGCACATCTGTCTTATAGAAGAACTCCAGCCAAAAAAAAACAAGATAAAAATTAATAGCAAATTAAAACAGGAAATAATAAATTGAGTTTTTGACGAAATATTCAGCTTTAATGCAAACATTTCCCCCATAGTAGTTTTCTGCTGCTAGATCTTCTCAGACTGATGGTTGATATCATTCAACCCACTTCCTCTGAGACCAGGTCATCATGGACCCCAGGTTGTTACTGAACAGCAAAAGAAGCAGCCTATCTCTCTGCACACTTTCTCTTTCTATCAGTATGCTTCTTGTCCTGCTTTCTCACCCTCCAACACTGATATACAAGGACAGCTAGAGGCTGAAACAAGATCAAATTTAGATACTTACACTGCTTGCATTTAAAACATGCATTTAATGATACATAACTGAATACAGAACTCCATTCATTTTGTTTAAATCTGTCTAGAGTTCAGCTTTAAAGCAAAAAGTTGTTGCCCTTTAATATGAACAACCTGTCCATTTTCATAGGATGCCGCCATGTGGGGGCCTACAAGTAGACTTTCAGCTCAATATAGCATGTAGGCAACAGGAGCCCTTAACTGGGACACTTGCTTATTCAACTTCATTTACATGTTTTCTCACTTCATTATATTGAATCTTCCTTCACCCCCAGAGTAACAAGTTCCCGAGGTGGTGAAGTAGCTTTTACAGTGCAAAGATTTCAAACTCAGTGGCAAAGGTTACAAGGAGGGTGAGCATGTCTCTTTGCTTCTGAACCTGAGACATTCCCTGGAGCCAACGCACCCAACACTGGTTCTTTACCAATGAGTACATGTGACATGGTTTAGAATGGCTGCTCTTAGGCAACCACAGGTAAATCCCATAGGTATCACATCCCTGGCTTTCCAATCATAATAATAGGGGATTAGTGCTGAGGTTTCAACGTTGAAACTTTAGTGGCTTTCTTTTCCTTCAGGATTATACATATCTTCACTTATTTCACTAAACTAAAAGCCAAAACTAGACTGGTAACCTGGCAAGTCAGGTGTTGCCAGAACATTATTACTCTATAAGAGTTCCTGTTTAACGTTACCCAATTCTGTTTTATCATTATCAAAGAGAAAGATCATTAAAGTACAACTGTCTAGGCTGTTTGGACAAATATTTACACATTCTTAACAAGTAGTAAATAAGCATTAAACAAACCCTCTTTGACCTCTATAACTGCAGGCAATCTGGTGCAATTTATTCTCAAATTTCCTCAGTATCTGCAGGTACTCTGGTGCAATTTATTCTTAAAGTTCCTCAATAGCTGCAGGTACTCTGGTGCAATTTTTTTCTTAAAGTTCCTCAGTAGCTGCAAGTACTCTGGTGCAATTTATTCTTAAAGTTCCTCAATAGCTGCAGGAACTCTGGTGCAATTTTTTCTCTTAAAGTTCCTCAGTAGCTGCAAGTACTCTGGTACAATTTATTCTTAAAGTTCCTCAATAACTGAAGGTACTCTGGTGCAATTTATTCTTAAAGTTCCTCAATAGGCAGGAACTCTGGTGCAATTTTTTTCTTAAAGTTCCTCAGTAGCTGCAAGTACTCTGGTACAATTTATTCTTAAAGTTCCTCAATAACTGAAGGTACTCTGGTGCAATTTTTTTCTTAAAGTTCCTCAGTAGCTGCAAGTACTCTGGTGCAATTTATTCTCAAAGTTCTCAAGAGAAACAAGTCCTTCAAGTTGGGTCTCAGAACTCTGCTCTCCCTTTTTTCTTGTGTATTTTCTGTGTTCACAGATAAGAAGGCTTGAGCAGAATGAGCTGAGCTGATGAAATAAAACTGAAAGTACTTTCAGGTGGAAACCTTTAGGACAAATTACTCCACAGTGCCTGCAGCTATAGAGGGCAGCAATAGCTTGTTTAAAAGATGTTTTTCCCGTGTTGCAAGCGTTTATAAATATTTCTACACTTTTCTACTTAAAGTGTATATCTAGGTAAACACTTTTGTTTTGGATACAGTATGTAGGGTTAGAACCCATATTGGGTTTTTATGACTTCCTCTGTTTTTAATATATAGAGTTTAAAGTGGAATTAAAGGCAATATTTTTTTTTTAATTTTTCATTTCATTTTAAAGGAGGATTATAACCCCTGTCAGTTTTTTTGATCATCTGTGTTCCATTGGGGAGAGATACTTTCACTTCTTGCCCAATAGCCAAACAGGAAGTGAGAGTAAATCCCTCCAAAGTGAAAGAATCCCTGGTTGCCATCAGAACTAGTGTCCCTATTGGAATTTTTTCGGACAACCCAAAATTGTGTATTCTCTTTTATTTTTACTCTCAGCGTGAGGGGGAATCTCTAATATGTGTATGTATGAATGTGAGTTAGGGACCTTAAATTGTACACTCCTTGAGAGGTAGGGACTGATGTGAATGTACAATATATATGTAAATTGATGGCGCTATATAAGTACTTGCAATAAATAAATAATCTCTCGAGGACACAGACAGCTATAAAAACTGACAAGTGTTCTAATTCCTCTCCACTCCATCCAAAACGTAAGAAAATGTTTTGCCTTTAATTCTACATTATGGGAGTGTTGGCTATATCTTTAATTTAAATCTGTTTCCCTGCTGGGGAGATTCACCCTTTATTTCTCCTAGCAACCACTGTTACTGGAAAAAAAATTATGGTAAAATCACAAATGTTATGGTGGTCACTGCAACAGCTGGTAAGGGGAGATCTTTCCATTTAAACACCAGTTCTAGTGACAACTGTTCATAGGGGAGTTCGAATCACTATTTATAGATTTTCTCTCATTGTCTGTTGCATCTCTGTAATGGGCAGGGGTGGACTGATCATTTGGAAACTCGGGCACTGCCCGAGGGCCCGGGGTCAGTAGGGGGCCCCATGAGATGCCCCTGGTACCTTTTTCATAGGCTTTTTTGAGTTTGGGCAAGGTCACAGGGGCCCCATGATCCTCTATTGCCCGGGGGCCCCATGAGTTGTCAGTCCGCCCCTGGTAATGGGACACAGATCACAAGAAAGTGACCAACAGGGATCTTAACCATTCCCTAGTCTATCCAAAACAAAAACGTTTTTGGCTAGAGAAACCCTTTTAGATTTGGTCTTCAATGTGTTAAATACATATTATATTATATATAGAGTAGTACATTTTAAATACTAGGTTTTTAGTCTCTTTGGATAGTACAACTGCTGCTGTACCTCCAACTTTTCTCCCAACAACAATACTGCAGTCATGATGATCTTCAGCACTGGATTTGTGTCTCCATCCCTGTCTTTACTGGCCCATGCACAAAAAGTGGCTTGTGATGATATACGCATTTTGTGAATGGGCAAGGGTAGAAACATGGAAGCGGTGTTGAAGGCTATCATACCTGCAGCTCTGGAATCAGCAGAAGGATCAAAAGTACAGCAAGTGTCAATACCATACGAGAACAGCTCACCGCCACAATTGACCCCCAAGATTAATAGAAGGTCTGAAAGCTCTTTTGTATATTCCACCCTGGACTACCGTCCTCATATACGAATACAGATCACAGATGGATATAGTACATGAAGGTGGAAATGTTTTATTAAAAATAACAGTTTACACTCACATAGGCAAAAATAGTGTCAGCATGTCATAAATCCCATAAATTGCTATGGCAACTTTTCTCAAACTTGGTTCCTCCAGAAGTTGCTAGGAGTTCCTTGACCAATGAGCAACTTCTTAGATGAGTAACCACTGACAACAATGATCTTTTTAGCTATCTGTAAAGAAGGGAGGATTCCGACCAATGACCACAAATGTATTTTTTCCCACTGACCATCACATTAATGTACAGTGAATTGTAGATATAGTAGGTATTAGCAAAGGGTTCCTGAACATAGAAAGTTGTTTCAAGGATTCCTCCATATTAAAAAGTTTGAGAAAGGCTGCTCTATGGACTCACCCTCCACCATCACAAACAAAGCACTCCAGTAACTCAAAAATATTGACGCATGATGACGACTCTGGGAACCCTCCCTACGTGTATGAGTTTCATCTGAATGACATCAGCCCATGTATGAATGACATCAGCCCCTGTATGAAAGACATCAGCCCCTGTATGAATGACATCAGCCCCTGTATGAAAGGCATCCGATCCAATATGAAAGATATCAGCCCCTGAGGAAGTCATTCAGACGAAACTTGTATGCGTAGGGCGGGTTCTCAGTATCGTCATCTTTTGTGAAACATTTTGTGCTAGCGAAGTGCCTTGTTTATTGCATCAGAGTGTGTGTCCGTAGCATTTTGTGGGATTTATGACTCTATTTCTGCCTATTTGAGTTTAACTTAGGTGATCTCTGAAAACCTATCTCTTCAGGGAAGCCTATCCTACTGGAATCTTCTACTCTTCCAACCAGTCCATCCCCCACAGTTACTACCTTTTGTACCACTAGCCCCTCCCTCCTAGATTATAAGCTCTAAGGATCAGGGCCCTCAAATCCCTCTTGTATTGAACTGTATTTTTGCTGTATTGTATCTCCTGTTATATTGTACAGCGCTGAGCAAACTGTTGGCGCTATATAAATCCTGTATAATAAAAATAACCCTTTATTTTTAATAAAACATTTTTTAAGCAGCACTTCACTATTATTAACCTCTTTTTCTATCTAAATGATATTTCCATCTTGACATATCCATCTGTGATCTGGATTTGTATATGAAGACGGCGTCCGATGTGGAATATAAAAAAGCGCTTTTAGACCTTCCATTAATCTTGGAGGTTGATTATGACGGTGCGCTGCTCTACTATAGGATTAATCACTGGGTGTTTTTGATTTCCACTTTATCAGTACAATGGCAGCACGAAGACTTTCATTTTCATCTTGGGTACCTAATCATGGACTTATAGATGCTTTATGGACTATACTTTATTTATGATGGATGTTTTGTATATTCTCTGATATATATTATTCACATGTTTATATTTGCAATGAATTAAATAGGCGCTCCCTTGCTATTGATTTAACACTGCATGTTTATTATTTATGAGATAACAATTTATCTTTGATTATTAGTTTTTTATGTTTATTATTTGGATGCAGCACATTCATTTTGTATTTAGAGGTACAGAAGGAGCTATGGTGGCTGGTTTACTAAAGGCAAATAAACTCTCACATATAAAACCTAAGTGCCCATGTCACTATAATGTAAAGCAGTGGTTCTCAACCTGTGGGTCGCGACCCCTTTGGGGGTTGAACGACCCTTTCACAGGGGTCCCCTAAGACCATCAGAAAACACATATTTCCGATGTGTAAAGAGCAGCTACTGTGTAGAAAGCAGCTGCTGTGTTGAAAGCAGCTACTCTGTTAAAAGCATCTACTGTGTTGAAAGCAGCAGTATTGGAGGTAAAACGACACTTCATGAATTATAATTACTGGGTAAATAATTTTATGGTTGGGGGTCACCACAACATGAGGAACTGTATTAAAGGGTCACGGCATTAGGAAGGTTGAGAGCCACTGCTGTAAAGCGTTGAGCAAACCGTTGGTGCTATATAAATCCTGTATAATAATAATAATAACGTGAACACATTTGGTGATTAGTGCAGCTCCGGTGTTTTATTCGTTTATTTGGGTTTGGCAGCACACACAGAGGTTTCAACTTACAAATAGACCCTGCACTTTGCAAGTGCAGTTGCACTCATTTCCGCAGAGTTTAGTAAATGTGAGGTAGCTTTGCTGATTTCCATCATCTAATCAAGTGCCAGCAAAAATGCTGTTTTTTTTAATTTACCTTGCACCTGATTGGGTATTCTTGACAAAGTAAAGCTTTACCACCTTCACTAAGCTCTGGGGAAAATGAGTGAAACTGTGCTTGCAAAGTGCACAGTCTATTTGTCTTTAGTAAATCGACCCCATGACATCTAGAGCAACCAAATGCCCAGTTTTCCACCTGTAAAAATAAAAGAAAGACTGGAATAACATGCTCACAAGTAACTAGCTACTGAAACCCCCCTCCCAAAATGTATTAAAATTTTCTCTTACATTGGAAAACCCACCATCCTGTAAAAGGGATATCCAACTAGTTTATGCCTAAAGTATAGACTGGTGTACATTGGCTGTGCCTCTCCCCAAAAATGTAAAAGAATGCAGGACCCTGTGGTTGCAGTGAACAGCTGTTTTACTCTTTGTTTAAATGGTCTCAACAGAATTTAAGGGCCCGTTCACTCTAGCCCAGGGGTGTCAAACTGACGGCCCTCCAGCTGTTGCAAAACTACAAGTCCCATCATGCCCCTGCCTTTGGGAGTCATTCTTGTAGCTGCCAATCTTGCAATGCCTCATGGGACTTGTAGTTTGGCAACAGCTGGAGGGCCACCAGTTTGACACCCATGCTCTAGCCTGTACGCGTTTTGCTCCTGCACACATGCACGCCAGTGTGCATTGCGTAGGAGGAGTGATATGCATTGTTAAAACACATTTCACTATGTACTTCTTCTTTAACTTTATTAAGGTGTCACAAAATCACATTTCAGTCAAGTCAATGCACAACAGTGCACTGTGATGCGCTGCGGTACGTTGCTGTGCTTTGCAATGCATAAAAATGCTGACATGTTGCATTTTTCATGCAATGCATACCAACATACTTGTATGATGTGAACAGGGTACAAAGTAAACAATTGTTATCTCTGAGTCCTTGCATTCAGCTTACAATGATCAACGTTTAGTGCATTTGGTGTTAACAAGCCCTTGACCTTCAATACTCTGCTAATCTTATTATAATGTTTTAGGAAACATCAATAGCAATGAAAGGCAAGGGATTATATTGATTGTCTTGAATGTATAGTTGTCAGTGTGTCTGTCTATCTAGCTTTTCCAGTTCCAGCCAACTTTTAAAACAGGGTATGTCTATTACCCATAAAGGCCACAGAGAATTGCTGGGATTGATTTCCTGGAGGCAAATAAGCTGTTCACTTTGCAAGGGAATTTTCCCCAAACATAGTGAAAATGGAGAAATTTCACTTTGCATAGCATATCCAATGACATGCAAGGAAAAAAAAGAATAAAAAAGGTTTAATAAATAAAAAATGTTCTTACTGGTTCACCGGGGAGTCCACGAGGTCCGACGTCTCCATCGCCTCCCTAGAAGATAATAAAGTAGGGAATCAGACAATGATGGACCTACTCAATGTAGTGACCCTACTCACAGGGTACTTACCCTCTCTCCGTCTTCTCCTGGTGGACCCATAGGACCCTGAGTTCCAGAATCTCCCTGTGATGAAAAATGTTAATGTTAATGACTTAGAGCAAGCACAAAACTATAAATATCCAAAAGACAGACAGAATACAAAGGAAATTCAAGTTAAGTGAGGATGAAGAGTACACAGTGTAATTTTGACAATCCAGATGGCCGTCATGCCAAATATCCAGAGGACAATACTAAGCATGGTCACCAACACTTCCGGCGAGCAATTTCACCATCAAGAATTTAGCATGGTTTTATTCCTATCCAATTACATTTTAACCAATACAATCCAGCCTATAAAAGGTAAAGGAGCCTGGATTGAGGCCTAAATTGAAAGAACAAAAGACAGCTAGACAGTAAGAGATGTGAAATGTGGAATAGACTCCCTCAAGAGTTGGTCCTGGCCAGCTCAGTGGATTGCTTTAAAAAAGTCCTGGATTCTTTCTTGGATACACAGAATATAACTGGATACTAACACTTATAGGTAAAGTTGATCCAGGGAATAACCAGTTGCCTCTCAGGGGATCATAAAGGAATTTTTTTCCCTGCAGGAGCAAATTGGATCATGCTTTGCTGGGATTTTTGCCTTCCTCTGGATCAACTCTGGGTATAGGATTTTAACTTTTTTTTTTTTAATGGTTGAACTGGATGGACTTTAGTTTTTTTCATCCAGACTAATGCAGGCCATAGATGGGTCGAAAATCTGCTGATTTTCGGATCGTTAGTGGGTTAATAGGTCGGCTGTTTTTCGTGATTTTGACACATTTTTTTAATCAGTAAAGTTGGAAAAAAATTGGCCAATTTTGTGGATCGGCCGATTTTCGCGGCAATGATGGGCAAATCGGCCGATGACCTGCAAGAAGATCATGAGCCGTGACCTGCAAGAAGAAGAAAAAGAAGAAGAAGAAAAAGAAAAGAAAGAAGGAAAAGAAGAAAAAGAAGAAGAAGAAAAAGAAAAAGAAGAAAAAAGAAAGAAAAAGAAAGAATTCCAGTCCGCTATTATATTTTACATTTTGGATATTTATTTTTTTTAGGTTTGGTGTTGAGTGGAAGCTAAGTGTTAAACTGAGTGCTTAGGTTAAAGGTGAAAAAAGAACTCCAGGCAAGTTTCTATTTTCCTGTGTAGTGGGGCTGTGCCCACAACTGCAGGGGATAACTGCTCTCGCTTTTGTCTATGGTAGGAGTCTCCGAACCTTCTAAACAAAGGGTCAGTTTACTTGTCTTTCAGACTTTAAGAGTGGCCAGTTTGAGTAGAAAATGCACCAGTGTCAATGGAATTAAAAAAATTTTGTAGTGCTTGTAGTCAGTGGAAGGACTAATAGTGCCCATCATTGGTATTGGTGGGAGGAATAGTGCCCCATCATTGGTATTAGTCGGTGGAATAATGCCCCACCATTGGCTTGAAAGGAAAAATACCCTAATGTTAGTGTCAGTGAGAGGAATGGTTACCCAATGTTGGTGCTAGTAGAAGGAATGGTGCCCCGAGGGTCTGATAAAGGCTAGCAAAGGCCGCATTCGGCTCACGAGCCACAGTTTGGAGACCGCTGGTCTAGGGGAATTACAGAGCGGAGATATACTAACCGAATCCGCCAATCCTCTGAGTGCAAGACCATCCCACCCGCATGATAGTGATTTTGTGAATGGACTGTTCCTAAAGTCATCATGCCCATATACCGACTCTGGATGTAAGGACAACAGGAACAGTCCACCGCTGGATGTGGGGGAGAGTGGTTTTCTGGAGTATCAAAGGATTGGGTAAATATAAGCCTTTTGGTGTTCTCCTAGACAAAAGGATCAGTTAACCCACGCAGTGCAGAGTTTTTTTCTTTAAATGTTATGTGTTGAGGGGAGGTTACAACTTAAGGGCTTCTTTTAGGGATTAGGTTAAGTGCACATGTGGGAGGTGTCTGAGTGTGCTGTATCTTTAGGAATACTTTAGCTTTCCTGGTACATTAGAGTCTCTGTTTGTTTTATCAGCAAAATCCCTGCACTGGGAAGTACTGCAAGAAAGCCCCAACACCAAAAACTAATGTATATCTGAATTTGGATATAGGTTTAATTGAAAGCTTCCAATATTTAAACAGGGAAAGACAGAAGTTCAAGTAAATGGGACTACATTCCTTCCCATCATGCAAGTACAGTTTAAAATCTGAAATATTCCCGAGGTGGTGGAGTCATGTTTTGCCCCTTTATTTATAATTAAATCATAAGTGAGTGTAAGGCCCTTACATATAGGAGCTAAATAAGAATATTTGACACACTTTTTGTACCATCACCATTGAGTTGGATGGTACCTTATGCCACAAAGCTATAGTCCACCCCATGATGGGTTTGATTTACACTGTATTCTACTACAGTTTAAAAGTATTGTCCTGTTGCATTGCATTCCAGTTGTCATTGCATTCTTTATTCCAAGTGTCCTTAGGAGAAAATGCATACGCATGCACAGGGTTATTTTTCTCTGAGAATAGGTGCAGGAACTCCCCATTTCCAAGTCTCCTCTTGTCTCCGCCCTCTACCCATCTCAGTTCCTTGGTTCCACCCCCTACCCAACTCTCAGTACTGCCTTTTATAGAATACAGAACCAAGTATCAATTTGTATAGAATGTGTTCATGATAACAAGAAAAGCAGGAAAATAAATCCCCTGCAGCCAGCAACAATAGACCCCCCCCCCCCCCAGAAACAATGGACCACCTGCAACAAAATACTCCTCTGCAGCAACAATAGACTTCCTGAAGAAACAACAGATCTCCCCACAGCCAGCAGCAATAGACCCTCCAGCAGCTGGCAACAATAAACTCCTCCCTCAACAGTAGATTGCTCCCAGCAACAACTGACCCCCCAGCAACATAAGACCCACTCCCAGCAGCAAAAGATCCATCACCAGCAATAACAGGCCACCTCAGCATCAATGGACCCCCCCTGCAAAAATAGATTCCCCTCCAGTGACCAGCATCAATGGACCCCGCATTACACCCCTGCACCCCTAAACATCACTCTGTATTTTCAAGTTGTGAAGGGAGGGACTTTGGGTGGGGGGCCCATGGAACCCAGCTCATTTTGGAAAGGTGGGGAGACCCCTGTCTCAGCTCCCCATATCCCTCTTATGTGTAAGTCACCCTGTGCCTGTTAGGGGTGCAGGGTGAGATGTCCTACTATTGTGTAGATATGTTATAGGAGATAGGTGGGGGGTTTTGCATTGTTTGACAAAATGTGATTGCATCCCATTGTTCTATTGTGTGTCTTGCTTGGGAAAAACTATTAATGTATGTGTTTAATTGGCTTGGTGGGGGGTGTCTGCTGAACAGTTTCTTGTTGCTAGATTTGGTTTGCCCTGCCCTGTGTCCTTATGCAGGGAGGGGAGGATTGTTCCCTTGAATGTTTATCTTGTGTCTGTGTTAAAATAAAGCAGTCTATTTCCTGGTTTCCTTCAAAGTCTGGTTGTATAATCTTGTATGGCCAGCGGTGGGGTCCGTGGACGGTGTTTGGATCGGATGTTAACAGAAATACCCTAGTGCAGTCGGGGTCAACTCCATTACACAAGTATAAAGTTTGGAACCTTCATCCAATTACATTCTGTCTATAACTCCAATTGGAGATTTACTAAAATGGGTGCACCTGTGCATAGTAATCCAATCAACGTTCTGACTTCAGCTTGTTCAGTTAAGCTTTGGCAATAAACCCTGGAAGCTGGTTTTTATATGCAGAGTTGCACCAGGCTTTGCACTCTCCGGTTTTAATAAAAGCTCCCTAAGTCCCTATAATTTATTTGCCCCTGTCATAGTGAAAATGGCAATGGAACCTACAGATGCCCTTCTGTTAGTTTCTGCAATATGATCATTTACACAGTAAAGCATAATTAAAATGGAATTATACTATTAACTCACCCGGTTACCTTTCTCCCCCGGCAATCCGGGCAGTCCATCAAAACCCCTCTCACCCTGTCAAGGAAACACAGTTCAGGAAATTTTGAATAATATGGCATAAAAATAATATATAGATTAATATGAGAGTCAAAGATGAATAGGTTTACCTTGCTGCCAAATTCACCAGGCAGACCACGAGCCCCATCAGCACCAGAGCGACCCTGCAGGAAAATGATTTTAAAGTCTATGAGAACTTGAAGAAAGTCTATGAGAGCAGAAATCTGCTGCATTTTTATATAGTTTTTTTTATAAAAGTGTCACTATACAAAGCAAAGACTATTTTGTAGTTTATTTTTAATAACCAATATCAACAGTAAGAAAATGAATACTTACTCGTCTTCCTGCTTTTCCTGGAGGTCCGGACAAGCCCTGAGGTCCTCTTGACCCCTAGTACAAGTAAGAGAAATGTTAGACTGAACTGAATCTTTTATTCCCTTTATTCTACTTGTTATTTCTGCTACTCTTTCTCCAGTATTGTATATATGCAAGGGTGTATGTACAAGATTCACATTTGTTTCTGGGTTATGGCCATGTATAAGGACAGGGCCGGGACATGGGGTGGGAAGGAGGGGAAGCTGCCCTGGGCACTGTGGTGTTATGTGAGGCAGGGGGCACCATTAGGAGGAGATTGGGGAGAGAGGATTTGTGTTGGAAGGGGGAATTTGGTGGGCGGCAGGGGTTTAGAATTGTTCTAGGAGGGGAAATTTGGGGAGGTATGCTGAGAGTAGAAATTTGTATTGGAGGGGGGATGGGGTAAGATGATTTCTGCTAGGAGAGTAATTTGAGGGGGTTGTGCTAGAAAAGGTGATATAGTCGTGGGGGAGGAGATTTGTGCTAGGAGAGGAATTGGTTTTTTTTGGGGGGGGGGATTTGTGCTAGTAGGGATAACTGGGAGGTATTTGTGCTTGAAGGGGAATGTTTTTGGGGGGAAATTTGTGCTAGGATGGAGGACAGGAATTTGTGCTGGGGGGGGGGGGGGGATTTGGAGGGGAAATTTGAGGGGTAGGGGATTTGTGCTATGAGGGGGAAATTATTTTTGGGGAAGGGATTTTTGCTGTAGACATTTGAACTGAGGGATTGGGAGGGCAAAAGATTTATGCTGGGAGGAGCGATTTTAGCAGGGGGGCGGGTTTTTAAGTACTGGGAGGAGGGGGAATTTATGTTTAGGGGGTAAGCATGCAGATTAGTGCTTGATTTTTTGGGGGGAAGGCATTTATGCTGACACACTCATACATTTTTTGGGGGGCGCAATTTTCCATATTCGCCCTGGGCACTGGATGACCTGGTCCCAGCAGTGCATAGGGAACCTTCAAGCGATCTATACTATTAATTTTTAGGGGAGGAGTGCATTCCAGCATCATATTTTGGCTTTCTTCTAAAACATCCCAAATGACACCCAGTGAGAATATTGCAATGTATTTTTTTCCAACGTATACAAGGCATTCTCTGACTGGATGAGGGTCTATCACAATGTAATCTGTCTCTCCACTCCACCTCGTCCAATCATAGAAAACCGTGCAGTCATTGAAATAAATACAAGGCATTCTATGAATGGCTGCTGCCCTGATTGAGTGACCCTCTGTGTTTAGCATGCAGATGGAAGCCAGCACCCAGAAGATTACGCCTATCACTGCAGACTACTACAGTGGTTTTCAGCAGCGGTAGCCCTCCAGACAGGGGCGGACTGACAACTCATGGGGCCCCGGGCAATAGGGGATCATGGGGCCTCTGTGTACTTGCCCACATTCAAAGCACACCAAAAAAGCCTATAAAAAAAGGTACCAGGGGCATTTCATGGGGCCCCCTACTGACCCCAGGCCCTCGGGCAAGGCCCGAGTGCTTGAATAGTCAGTCCGCCCCTGTCTCCAGATATGGATATAACTACATAGTGCCAAGCATTACCAATGTAAACTGGAAATACTGATAATCCCTGGGGTTCCATTTTAGGTACTGGAAGTAAATGTAATTTGTAATACGGATGTCATTTTATTTTCCAAACACTTCTAGGCATTGTTCCCTTTTCAGATGTACTATACAATGTAATTCACTGTGTGAATTGCTTTAATGTAATGCAACAAACAATCTTTTTAGATACTGTCATTTCACCTGTGCATGGGGACAGCTATGTTTGCTCATTTCTTCAAATATTCATATGGGGGGATAACAGCAGGCCACTAGAGGCAGGGCTTATAACCCAGAGGTCTATGTTCCTCCATAACCTCTTCAAGAGAAGAGTTTTTGGTGTGTACAAAAACCATATTGTCATGCTGCCATGAAAACCAACCTACATTCTGGATTTAATTTCTAATCTGAATTACAGATATTACCTTTTTATCTATAACCATCCATCTTAATATAATCCCTCCCAAAACCTTCCTTGCCTCTCAGGCTCTTTATTCCATGGAATTTAAAGTATGATGGGGAATTGGCTTCCTTATGAATACTTCTCTAAGAAATCCGATCAGACTTTCAGCAGTTTCCTCAAGGATTTTATAAAGAAGTATCAATCTGGCAACCATGTACAATGTCATTTGAATTTATTAAGGTATTGTTATCATTGTGTCTCCTTTAAATGTTATGTTTTTCAGTTTTAATTCCCATAGTTTTTTTGTGTCTACTTTCCTATGCTCCAGTCCCTCATTTTTTTTTTGCACTAATTCCTAATAATTAGTCTTTGAACTCAGGGGCGGACTGACAACTCATGGGGCTCCCGGGCAATAGGGGATCATGGGGCCCTGTGTCCTTGCCCAAACTAAAAAAAGCCTATGAAACAGGTACCAGGGGCATCTCATGGGGCCCCCTACTGACCCCGGGCCCTCGGGCAGTGCCTGAGTTTCCAAATGGTCAGTCCGCCCCTGGTTGAACTGTATTATACAATGGATACCTGAGCATTTTCACAAGTGTTTGGGAATGTTAGAGAGCAATATGTATATGCTTACACAATTACCTGAGGACCAATATCTCCAGACTCCCCCTTTAGTCCAGGACTTCCTGGTGGACCCTGAAATGACAAATCAAACTCTTGATCAAGAAAAATCAGGAAGATATTGAGAAAAATTCTTGATCTGGCACCTCTTGGGCAAATTTGTAAATAGAAAAATAAAAGATACTTATTTGTACAGCTATTCTACATGCACAATTTCATGTTTTGTGGTCCTGATGAATCGAGCTGAGGCTGCTTTTACCTGTTAACCACTCAAGCTGGGTGAAGTGTGCGGCAGTCGGGCTTCTTCTTCCTATTTTTTGCAAGCTTTGGGTCTGGACAGACCTATCCTCAGCCTTCACCCCTACTGGTCAGTGGCATCCCACTCATCTGACCTGGACAGCCTGAGCAGGAATCCTTAAGCATTTATCATCAGTCACAGGTAGGCCTGGTTGTTGGGCTATCCAAGGCATAGAAGAAGCCAAGAGCTAACACCTCCACCAGGGCTCAGCTGTGACCAAGTTAGATCGATCCATGGTGAGACTCTATCCTTAAAACCGTCATTAATATGTATATGCAGTAGTGCCAATTTGTTGGAAGCCAGGTGACCTACAGACTAGGGGGTCTCAGAACCAAAGACTTCATAGCTTTAAACCAAGATTGCCAAATGTTGTGCTGTCTATTCTGCAAAATTTTAGAATATATATAATACTGTAGAGGTGCTTACCAAAGGTCCAGATCTTCCAGTATAGCCCATTGGCCCTGGGGGCCCACGTAAAGCCAGCTGTTAAAAACAAAAATGTGACAAAGATGACATTATATAAATGTAGATATTGGAAAAACAAACTAGTGTTGAGATGTACTTTACTTACTCTAGCCTGCTGTAATATAGCCGCTGCCTGAGCTTCTTGTTGCGAAACTATTGGGCTTTATCACCACCGCTGTTTCCAAATCGGAACTGTGGAATAGTTGGAAGGCAGTATTATGAGCTTACGTTTTGATGTGGTAAAACATTGTGATTGTAATGTGCTAGATCAACATATTGTGCTAGAACAATTGTTTGTATGATTTAAATAGTCAAGACATTTTGGAAATAATTACAAACTGATTGTGCCTCCTAGTCCCATAGACCAGTGTCCCTCCTTCCTCCCCACCATTTATAGTCTGAGTGTCTCAGGAACAGGGCATGAGACTAAATTTCCCCGGTTGGATTACACACAGAAATAAAAACTTAGCAAAAGTTGTATCTCCTTCCAGCTTCTAGATTCTGACCAAAGACTTACGGGAAGCATGACAGAGCTACCAGGTGGTCCAGGCAAACCGTTGGCTCCGGTGAGACCAGGTCGTCCTGGGGGACCCTAAAAGTGTGAGGATAAGTTTAGCAAAAATAAATGATTGTGCTATAGTGGTAAGGCAGAGTGAAAAATGTAGAGAATTATTTTAAACTCTCATTAAAATCTGAATTTCCTACCCTCTCTCCAGGATCACCAATGGGTCCAGGATGGCCTTGTGTTCCAGGGGGACCTGACTGACCCTGCAAATGACCGAAAAATACTTTTTTTATGACTTTTATCAATTATTTTTAAATTTACCTGCTGCTTCCCATCTGGACTTTTGTGACATTCAGTAAGCACAGCATTTGTCTCTGTGATAATATATTTGTACGGTGGTACGGTGACAAAAAAACGTGATGAATTTTTGCTGGTGTACATAAATCTGTGTGTTTTTTCCAGCTTATGTATGATATTTACAGTCTTTATTGTTTTGTGTGTTTTTTTTTTTTACTTTTTATTTAACAAACTGTTTTAGAAGGCATTACAAACACAATGCAAAGACAAAAAATATTGTATAAAATGGTGGCAAATGAAAAACACATATACCTAGATATCCAAGATCTACAGACCACCACAGTGAATATGTACTGTATATAAACTCTGTAATGAAACAATCAACTAAAAATAAAGAATGAGCAAAACATATGAATCAGAGATATATTAAAATGGTACTTACAGCAGGTCCTTCTGATCCTGGTGGACCTTCAACCAGCATTCCCTGTGAAAAAAAAAATAGACTTGTCACCAATTTACTATTTTTTCAACTATCCCAGTTGTAAAAAGCTGAACATGAACAACAAAGGAATTAATAGAAAAATGTTAATTCTGAAAACTGGATACAAATGTGTATACTGTATTTTTGGCTATGAGCATTCGCCCAGTGTAATTTCTGCTAATATATTGTAGGGGCAGTCGTATTTGGTTGTCCTAGTGGTGTCCAAAAATATAAGGGTTGGTTTACTAAAGGCAAATAGGCTGTTCACTTTGCAAGGGAATTTTACCTTTGCAAGGGATTTATCCCTTAGCTTAGTGAATGAGGTAAAGCTCTACTAAATTCCATCACCCAATCATGAGCAAGCAAAACTACTGTTTTTTTCCCTGTGTATTTGATTGGGTTTTCCTTAAAAAGTATATTTTCACCACATTCTTTAAGCCAAGGGAAAATTGATTTGCAAAGAAAGCAGCCTATTTTCCTTTAGGAAACCAACCCCATACAATTAGATTTACCTGCTCCATCTTTTAAATATTTAAGTTATCATAGGTCTGGCCACACTCCCTGACCTCTATAGACATCCCCAGACTGATCCTTCTTTGGACAAAGATTGGCTCCCATGGATTATGTGAGTCATTCACTATCTTTGCCTTCCAGAGGTAATTTAGTCCCAGGGATATTTGTAAAGTGTTTCCCCTGCCTCTTCCATAGGGATCAACATTGTAATTCTAATCTCGGTTTGTTGAAGGTTTCTTTTGTTTGTTTCATGTAAATATCTTCCAGTGTTGGGATTGGGAACATACAATCACATGTTTCTCTAATGGTAAATTCTTTTTTGATAAGTGAAATCTACCATACCAACAGTGAGATGTGGGTGTTCATTTGTAGTAAGTAAATACTAATTTTTTTAAGCAGCTAATAGATTATGCAATTTTATTTCCTTCCACCATGGGTGGAAAGAAAAGAACATTGCTTGATTTCCCCATCAACACAGTCAGTGCTGATGGGGGAATCCCTCCCACGGGGCTATTCTGTTCTGCTGGTGGGGAGCCTTCCCTAGCATGAAACCAGTCTGCCCATAGATGGATTGAATCTCGGCTCGTTGCTGCTGAACAGTCCGAGGTTTGATCCATCTATGGCCAGCTTTAGCTTATAATTGCCACAGCAGGTATGCAGACCAGCGAATTCAAATGTAGAAATCTAAAATAGAAAATAGAGTCCTCAAGAGATATCCTAGATTGTAAGCTCAAAAGAGCAGGGCCCTTGAACCCCTCGTGTTTTGTTTTGTTACTGTATTGTCTCATGTACTGTCCCCCAATATAATGTACAGCGCTGGCAAACCTTTTGGTGTTATACAAATACTGTATAATAATATAAGAGACTGTCAGGAGGTTTATGTCTCCAATATCTGCCAAAAATGAAATATTATAGGGTGGACTAACCCTTTCCAACATATAAAAATGACAGCAAAACCAAAAGGGACATTTATAAAAAGCTGGAATCGATATTTCAATATTTCACTTGTGTTGCTCCTAAAATTTACAATTCCCTAAATAAATTTAGCATAATGAATTACCACTTGACAACCAGCGATCTACCCACATGTCACTGGACTTCAAGTGGTTATACTGGGTGATGCCTGAAGCTTCAGGCATCATCCCGGTATTGTTTTTAGAGCCAATTAGAGCTAATTATCCATTGGATTGCTTTTACAGACAGTGGAAGGGGATGTCCTTCCCCTTCCAGCACGTTCCGTGGCTCTCGTCCCACCAGGAGCCCCGAGCGACCAGCCAGCACTTTAGCCGGCTGACCATTGAGATAATCAGAGACCATAATGACTCCTTTTCTGAAGGATTTAAAGGGATGGAATAAAAATATATATAAAATGAAAAAGAAAAATTCTTAAAGCGCCCCCACCCCCTATGCTTGCGCAAAAGTGAATGCATGTGTTGGTCAAGCACACAAACAGCGATCGTTCCACATATGTGAGGTATCACCACAAGCGTAAGATTGTGGGCAGCATTTCTAGCACCAGACCTACAGTGTAAATCTCATCTATCTGTAATGTAAATCTAATCTAGTGGTAACCTGTGAAGGCTTTTAAAACGTAGCCTATAGATAATAAAATTTACATCATTTGTTACCGTTGGAAAGGTGTGTGCGCAATTTTAAGGCGTCACATATTTGGTATCTATTTACTCAGCATAACATCGTCTTTTAAATTTTACCAAACAATTGGGTATTATATCGTAATTTTGTACATGAAAATCCAAAAAAGTGTATTTGTGTTTGAAAAACCACTGTGCAAATATCATGGGATGTAAAAAAAAAGCAAAATTATTCTCTAGGGCCTCTGCTTTAAAAAAATCTATAATGTTTGGGGCTTCTAAGAAAATTTCTTGCAAAAAATACTGATTTTTAAAAAAGAGTCAGAAAAGGCTTGGTCTTAAAGTTGTTAAATGGAATGAAGATGAAGAGAGAAACACGGTGCAATGTTTTTTTTTCTATTGACACTGCACTTCAACCATTGTTTCTAGCATTTGAGCAATTTGTCTACTTTGTATAGTTTCTCTGTTTGCCTCAGCATCGGAGGACTCGATGTAAGTCCAAAATGGAAACAAAATTATACTTTAGTTACTATATAATATAATAATAGTTATAATAGTTATATATATAGTTAATATAAACTGCTCTCGGTTTATACATGCAGTTCATTGGACAGGTTCATGTTGGGTTAGAGGCCTCATACCAGATCCGCTACTATCCAAATACAAGGATTTACAATGGACAACCGTAACATTTTGTACTGAGACTGATACAGACAGGACTCCTTCATTTTTTTTTAGACATTATCTTTGCATTACATAACAGACTATACTTACTGGCTCTATAACAGCTGGTTCTCCTTTATCTCCTTTCACCCCACGGGGCCCGCTGATGGCCTGAGGGTAGCACACATATAACCACAAAGATGGAGATATTTAGTATCACTCAGATAAAAAAGCCCTCTTTATCTACTAATATTTAACTATGATATATAAGTGAAAATATAAAAACTAAAAGTAATATATTACATTTGGCACTGTTATACTTCTATAATTTCATATAAACAATAGCAGTTCTGGACAAGACCAAATAGGAGTCCTTGTTTCAGCCAATATACACTGTATGTTAATATTACATGCCACAAACCTGTATAGTGATAATGTTATCTATATTAAATACAGTGCACATGATACTAAGGTAAACTGTGAGCTCCAATTATACAGGGGCGCAGAAGAGCTATCAGTGTTGTAGGTTCATCAGCAAAGCTGCAATGCTTGAGGCACTTAAATACACTTTATTAGGATCATAAAATTCCAGAGCATGTTGAGAATTCTATGATGCCATAAGCAAGGGTCAGAACGAATCCACAAAGGACCCCAGTGATCAAGGTGACATTGAGCAGCATGACATCCTTTGGTCACCCAAGGCTCCAACTGGATTTCGACTTTTCTGACACCCCGTAATAAATGTTATATCACAGCAATATCGTAAAGTCTGAGCAACAAGGTGGAGATGACAAGAAAGTAAAAGCAGCAGAGGACAACAGACAGGAGACAAAAGGAAGTCCAAAAAGGAGGACACCGAAGCATCCATCCAGAAAAACATGTAGACACACAATCTAAAACGTGTGGTCAACAACAAAGAGTAGGGAGTTAGACATAAATA